AGGTAGCCATGTTTGGTTGAAATTCCTGCTCATTTGCCATTCTGTTTCTCCTATCTAAGGAGTTGTAGTTTGAAAGACCTGCAAGTAGCCACTTTGTTTCAAAAGCGCTTAGTTACTGATTTTCACCAAACTTGAGTCTTATAATGGGGACATTGGGAATTGCAGTGTATGCAACATCTGGAGACCAGACTGAGAAAAATGGTAGATATTTCCTGATGCTCTTTAAGACCCCGGCTAGATTATAGCAGAAGCCTATCCTTTAATTGAGTGTCCTGCTTTCCCACAGCTTCTAAGCAGATGTCTGTGGGAAGCCTTCAGGTGCTGCCCTTTTCAGCTATTATTAACCTTAGCCCAGAAATAGGTACTGAGAGGCATGGTTTCTAGCCATCCTTTTGCAACAAGCTGTTCACAAAATAAAAGTGAGCTATTAATGCTACAGGTGAGCAAGAAATCCAATTCCCAAAGGGGAAGAGCAATCAGTATGATCTCTCCACTCCATCAAAGGTGATATGAAAAGTAATAACCATCTCCAGCTTGCTGCCCTCCAGCTGTGTTGGGATTAGAAGTCTTGAAAAGTAAGAGTGCTAGTTGGGAATCCAGAATATCGTTCCTCTGTCTTAAGGGCCATCCCGCTGGGGAAGAGCGGTGTAAATGTTATAATCCAGAAGAGTAAAATCTCCTGGAATCCAGCTGCTGCAGGAACTTACCTATATTTGGTTCTCATGTGATAATATCAATAACCTCTTCCCTTGCATCAAGCTTACTGAGATGCATGGCTGACTTTCTGTTGTGTGCATACAGTTTTCTCTGCTCTACTGTGTGGTGGATGTTTACCTTCTGTCGCACCAGAGTAGTTTATATGAAGGAAGACCTTTGTTCCTCAGTGCTGGTGTTACCTCTTGACCCTCAGCTGTTCTGTGTAGTGTGCACCTGCATGCCCAAAGAGGGGAGAGTGGATGAATTCTGATGTCTCTACTGCCTGTCTTGGTGCCAAGAAGATTAGCTGGGGCAGGAGGGGCTCAGCAAACAGAGAGTAGATAAAGACCTCAGACATGACAGGTTGTAATGTTTACTTACAGGAAGGTTAATAGAGAATCTGGTTGATGCATTGGATAAGGGGGGGTGGAATCAAGCCTGCCTTTGGATCCCATTCTCAATGCTCTGAAGTATAACCAAACTCCTAAATGCTGAATTAGGAGTAGACATTGAATTTAAATCTTAACTCCTACTTTGATAATCTGCAAGAGCTCAGACTAGTGATATCTTATCTAGAAGAGCATGCTTCATTATCTCACTTCCCCTCCCGGATCTTGTACTTTAATTATTAATATAGATTGCAAGTCCAAACATGATCTTCCATATTACTGTAATCCTTTATTAAGAAAGGTTTTTTTAAAAGTGATTTACAGTAGCGCACAGCCTTTAGCGGCATTCTAATTCATTATTCATTAATAACAAATAAAAAGTAATTTTGCATTCTGTGGGAAAGAATTCCTTTGTTGTTGTCTTACCCTTAGCACTGTTGGGAGAGGTGGCACTCCTGCTACACTCCGGATTGTGATAAATGAGAGATTCTCCACCCAGGCTCAATCCAGATCAGAGATACTGATTGTGCTATTCAATGGCAGAAGGTCTTGGCTCCTGAGATCTGGTTCAGTCTGGTGGTTCTGCCTAAGAGTCAAACTCCATAGCACTTCTCCAGGTGTTAATGTTTGCAATGCCAATTACAGAAGACATCAAACTCCATTTAGGAATCCTGCAGAACGTTTGCATCCAAGTCCCTTTGTTCACATTTTGTGTATCCTGCTACATTGATTTTGAGCTGGAGAGAGTGTACTACAGGGAGATACATGGCAATGGTTGGAAACTAATCAGGGAGAGAAGCAACCTAGAACTAAGGAGAATTTTCCTGACAGTGAGAACAAGGAATCAGTCAAACGACTTCCCTCCAGAACTTGTGAATGCTCCAATACTGGAAGTTTTTAAGAAGAGGTTGGGCAGCCATTCGTCTGAAATGCTCTAGGGCTTCCTGCCTGAGCAGGGGGTTGGACTAGAAGACCTCCAAGGTCCCTTCCAACTCTGTTACTCTGAGGTTTGACTTGCCCTGTAGGTAAAGCTATGCTTGATATCATTGATACATGTTGCTCTAGGCTGCGAAACTAATTTTGTAGAGGGGAATTTGCTCCTCTTTTTCGGTTTCCGCTTTTCATCCCAGTTTCTCTTCATCCTAGATTTATAATTCTTCAGGTTCTCAGAGGTATGAGGTTTTCTGTCAAAGTTTGAAGACAGGCTGGGAATCTTTGCACATTTCTCCCAATTACGCCTGCCTTGGCTAGTATTCGGCCGCCGGCTCCCCCGCAGAGATTGAAATGGGAGACGGTTTGGAGCTCCCATAGATCCGCTTTAGCATCAAATGCATCTGGCAGGTTTACAGGAAGGAGCCTGCCGAGGCAGAGATTCTCCTTACTATTCTGCCTGTCCTCTCTGCTTTCCTACTGTGGGACTTCCTCGGCCACTATGCAGTATTTTAAGCTCTTTCCCAGGCCTTGTGGGCCCCAAGAGGGGTGGATTCGCTGCTTGCTTGCAGCTGCTGAACCATACACCTGACTGCCTGCACAAGGATCCTTTGTCCTGCACCAGGGAATTTTACGGAGGGGGAGGATGTGAGTAGGGGGTGGAGAGGGTAGTTTGAAGGGAAATAGGGAGGTAGTCAAGAATTGGGGAGCCAAGAAGGAGGAGAAGCCTGGAGTAAATGTGCCTCCATTTTACACAACCTGTTCCTCACATACAATCCAAAGATACTAACCAATCTGCAGGTATTCTAAAAGAAAGGGACCTATCTGTCAGTTCTCACCTAGGGGAAGGTGCATTGCAAGAGGTAAGAGGGAGGGCAAAGAGTCTCCCTGGGGAGGTCTAAGCTGATAACACTGCATGGATTTAATAGTCACGAGGCCTCTTGAGGCGTCTTGTTTGCAAACCAGAGCAGAGATCATAACACCATCACACAAAAACAATTCCTTGGCAGAAGGTCTGGTGCTTAGAATGGCTTCAGTTCAATTTAGATGCACCTAGGAGCAGTGCTTTTTTTTTGTAAAAAAAAAAAAAAAAGGTGCCGGAACTCACACATGTTATACAACCCGCCTTGCCTACCCTATAAGGTTCCATCCAAAAAAGGTGCTGGAACTCCCGTTCTGGGCGTTCTATGACAAAAAAAGCCCTGCTTAGGAGTTACAATTAAACTGGAAGGTAAGTCACTTTAGCCCATAATCCAGTCTGCTTCCCCCCCGCCCCGTCCCTATTTGAAAGGGATTGGGGTTAGGAGTCAGTAAAGTATTGAGAGAAAGGACTCCATCTGGTCTGCCTTGAATTGCCCCTTGAAGAATGTGATCTATGCCACTGGTTCCCAGTTTGTTGCCTCATTAGATGATGTCCAGAATTCCTATCTTGACTTCCTCAAGGATGACCCATTAAGCGCTATCTTTCTTTTTGCTTATTCCTCAGATTTTTTTATCCCTTATTGGGAAAAAAGGGGGGGAGATCATTAAATGAGGGATATTGGTCAGATCATACAAGGGGGAGACTGGCTATCAAATTGCCAAGGGATGGGAAATGCAGTGCTGCTTGTGTCATGGTTCCGACAGATGAAACTCTTCAAAGAACTTCGAGGCATTGCTTACCTTAAAGAATCTTTATTCAAGTTGCATGGCATCGGCTAGTATGAAGCCAAAATCTGAATTCCCCTCCCCTGAGCACATAGTATCAAAGCACAATTCCCTCCTCCAATTAACAGTCATAAATCACATTCTCCAATTAGTTTGAATTGCAGGCTTTCCCTCCTGATTTCTAACCCGCCAATTCTTATCATCTCTTATTTCAAGCTCTGAATTCACACACTAGTACAATATTGTTATGTCTAACTAACTCCCACCACATTCCGCCTCCTCCCACAGCATCATCTAATTCTAAGAGTAAAGCATAAGAAAGAAAAAAAGCTGCATCTTCATATGTTGTTAAAGCAAGAACATCCAATGTTAGCAGCATTGACAGCTTGCTTTCATTCCTCTGCATTGTTCAGCAGATGCTCAGGCCAGATCCTGACCAAGCTGTTGTAGGCGGCAACTTGTCCTAATCTAATTTTCTGTTCCAAGGCTCAAGCTTCTGTAAAAAAAACCCGTTCATTCCAGTTCAAAATTACTATACATTCTTAATTCAAAGTGAACTTGACCCATTTTTGTTCCTAGCTGCTTCTGATTTTGCAAAGCTTTGGAAAAATGTTACGCATTAATCAGAGTACTAAACCAGGCATTACTTTTCTACCTTTAAACTCAGATTTGTTATCAGGTGGATTAGAAACATTTTCTGCATATTTAAGTGAAAACCATAATAAGGCCTAAACAAAAGTTTGTTATACTGGGGTAGTGAGGAATAGCTCTCTGAAAGACAAGGGTCCTGATCACAGACTAAATTTCTTTTCTCAGTTTCTATTGTCTTTTGTGGCCAACCAAATCCTACGGTTTTAAAAATATCACTCTCAAAGATGCATATTTATTTTTATTTACTTATTTCAGTTATTGTCACTTTTTCGCTAATAATGACTTTGGGGGGAGGGAGGGAGGAAATGCAGCCAAAAGAAAGCTATTGAGACACAAAAGGATATGACATTTTTAGCCTCTCACCTTTTACTTTAAATAGGAAGGGATTTAAAGGGATATAGGTGAGTTGTCTGAAAACACTGTTTTATTCTCCAGGAGAGGTGTGCACCAAAAGACAGCTTCTATTATTCTCTCCATGTTGCTCAGCATCTACAGTCTACAGCTACCAGTTCCCCCCGGTACTCTGCACTGGCATGTATAGAAGACTTAACATTGTCGGTTTCAGATGAGTTTGTTGGTAACAAGCTTGTAAGAAAAAGCAGCTGGAGAAGAGTTTTGCTTTGCTTTTACTATAGTGAATTTCTGGATTGGTCTCCTGTACTCACTCCTGTCTCTTTTTTCTTTCAGTGGCAGCATCCTTGTTGGGGCACCCAAGGCTGAAACAGGCCAGCCAGAAATTACGCAAGGAGGTGCGGTTTTCTATTGTCCCTGGCATCTTGGCAACAACAGCTGCACAACCATTGAATTTGATAGCAGCAAAGGTAAGCTGGGTCGATCTCGGGGGGAAGGCTAGCTACCTGCCTGTTCTTCCTTCTAAGTTTGCAGCTGAATATCCTAGACCCTGATGTAATTCACACTCCACCCAGACTCATTTTCTTCCTTTTGCTGTCTTAGATCTTATTTATCTGTGTGGTTTTCCTACATCAACAGATTTTGCTGAACTATAAATTCAGGCATCCTGAGCCAATAGTGAGGGATGCCAGGAATTGTAGTTTAGCAAGCCCCTGTCTTATCTTCAGAGCACTTTTGTGTATTTCTAGGGGGAATAGCCTTGTAAAGCTTGGCCATATTGGTTGGTTGAGAAAACCAAGCAAATGTTTGGAAATCTGTCATTTCTAGCCAGCTTTTACTGCTACTCTCTCTAATCTGGAGTGAAGCCCCTAGCAGGTCTGCCAGCAACGTAGACTTACAATATAATTGGATACCGATGTTGACTGCCAAGCCTATTAATGCTGGCACTCGGCATTCATTGTCATTTATAAGCTGTAGGCCCTATTTCTCTATCACTGATTATCTGAGTAAAGTTTTTGTTCCGTTTGATATTGCAAGCATTAATTGTTCTAACATTGGCCTAGGACTCCCCCTCCTAGGCATTTCTGGCTGGGGGAAAGTGTGCAAGGAGTTTGGTCCAGTGAAATTTTGGGTGTTCAGCTATAATTGATTGCCACATCAGAGTCTGCCAGATTTGCTAAGTAAGTATTAGATGAAAATCCACAAAGGTGTCAGCCTGTCCCAACCTGATGCCCCTTCTGAATAGAATAGAACAGAACAGAATAGAATAACAGAGTTGGAAGGGACCTTAGAGGTCTTCTAGTCCAATCCCCTGCTCAGGCAGGAAACTTATACCATTTCAGACAAATGGTTGTCCAATCTCTTTTTTAAAACTTCCAGTGTCAGAGCACCCACAACTTCTGGAGGCAAGTTGTTCCACTGGTTAATTGTTCTGTCAGGAAATTTCTTCGTAGCTCTAGCTTGCTTCTCTCCTTGTTTAGTTTCCATCCGTTGCTTCTCCAAAGCCCTCAGGTACTTTGGAGAATAGCTTGACTCCCTCTTCTTTGTGGCAGCCCCTGAGATATTGGAACACTGCTATCATGTCCCCCCTCGTCCTTCTCTTCGTTAAACTAGACATACCCAATTCCAGCAGCCTTTCCTTAAATGTTTTAGCCTCCAGTCCCCTAATCATTTTTGTTGCTCTTCTCTGTACTCTTTCTAGAGTCTCGACATCTTTTTTACATCGTGGTGACCAAAACTGGATGCAGTATTCCAAGTGTGGCCTTACCAAGGCATTGTAAAGTGGTATTAACACTTGCCGTGATCTTGATTCTATCCCTCTGTTAATGCAGCCTAGGACTGTGTTGGCTTTTTTAACAGCTGCAACACACTGCTGGCTCATTTGAATGCAACTCCCAGCACATCCCCAGCTACAATTCTAGCGCAGTACATTTGGAAGGCAACAAGCCGGTGGTGGCTGCTCTCAATTCTTTTTTCTGTCTCAACTGATTGAACTATCACTTGCAAACAGGAAGTTCAGAGTGCTACAACTCTTCTTGCCTATCTGTGGTTGCTTAGCAGCAAAGGACTGCCCTTTTCCTTCCTAGGGAGCTTAATGTAATAAAGCAACAATAGCTACTAATTGGTCCTACTAAGTTCAGAAGGAAATGAGTATTATTGAGTATTATTGAATGTCAGGATCCTGATTTTTTGCCCTAACTGACTTTACTAAGCAGGAGATAAATGGGGTAGAACTGTCAAGGAGGGGGATCAGATTCATATTTTTACATAAGGATTCCGCCTTATTGTTCAAAACCAAGAAGTAAGAAGAGAGAGTTTTATGCTCCTTGTTTGTGCTGATGCTAAAAACATAAGAAGATACAAATAGTCCTCGACTTATGACTGTTAGTTTAACAATGATTCAAAGTTATGACTGTCACATACCCCCTTATAATCATGTGATTGCAATTTAGGCATTGGCAACTGGCTCCCATTTACAACCGTTGCAACATCTTGTGGTCATGTGTTTGCGATTTGTAACTTTTCTTACCAGCTTCTGACAACCAAAGTCAATTGGGGAAGCTGGATTCACTTAACAACCATGTGATTCGTTTAATGATCACAGCAATTCACTTAACAGCAATAATAAAAATGGTTGTAAAATCTGCTCCAATCATGCGATGACTCACTTTATGGCCATATTGAGTTACAATGGAAACTCTGAGCCCAAATGTGGTCATAAGTTGAGGATTATCTGTATTACCCTACCATTTGGCCCAGATGCTGTCATCCTTCAAAGATTTCTTTGGGATGGGAAGAAATTATTTTAGGGGCCTGAAATTTGAATATTTCTGTTATAAGGGACTGACCTAAATCTGATTTATAGGCTTAGGTTTATAGATGCGTAGATTGGTCGATAGAATAATTTTATAAATTTATAGATGTATAGACTGGTTTATAGACTTAATCTATAAACCTATAGATTTATAGTCTGAAATCTATAAATCAATAGATTAATATCCTGCCTTTCCTTCAGGAGTTCAAGGTGGCATGCCTTATCATTTCTCCTCACACGTTCCTCACAATAAGAACTCTCTGAGGTAGGTTGGGCTGAGAGAATGACTGGTCCAAAGCCCAGGAAGCTTCTGTGGCTCAGGATAGACCTGAACCTGGGCCTTCCTAATGCTGGCCCAATACCTTGATCTCGACACCATTTTGCCTCTCAAATGCAGCATTTCTCAACCTCAGCCACTTTTAACACGCACGAACTTCAACTCCCAGAATTCATGCTGGATTCTGCAGAATTCTTTCGGGTTAAAGTCTACGCCTCTTAAAGTTGTTGAGATTGAGAAAACCTTTTCTAACGGATGTCAGGTCAATTTTAGGACCAAGGATAGCACACACCTACAATCTCTGGAAAGGCAGATTAGTGCAGTGTAATATTGAGCCTGAAAAGGCTGATATTCGTAAAAGTTCTTCTTGTCTGCCAATAGAATAGAATAGAGCTGGAAGGGACCTTGGAGGTCTTCTAGTCCAGCCCCCCATTTAAGCAGGAGAACCTATACCGTCTCAGACAGGTGATTGTTCAGCCTCTTCTTAAAAATCTCCAGTGATGGGGCACCCATGATTTCTGGGGGTAAGCTGTTCCACTGGTTGATTGTCCTCACTGTCAGGAAGTTTCTCCTTAAATCCAGGTTGCTTCTCTTCTTGATTAGTTTCCAACCATTGTTTCTCATCCTTCCCTCTGGTGCTTTGGTGAACAACCTGGCCCCCTCTGCCTTGTGGCAGCCCCTCAGATACTGAAACACTGCTATCATGTCTCCCCTATTTCTTCTTTTCTTTAGGCTAGCCAAACCCAAGTCCCGCAGCCGTTCTTCGTATGTTTTAGCCTCCAGGCCTTTGATCATCTTAGTTGCTCTTCTCTGAATTTTTTCTAAACCCTCAACATCTTTTTTGTGATATGGTGACCAAATTTGGCTGCAGTATTCCAGGTGTGGTCTTACTAGGGCTTTGTAAAGCGGTACTAGTACTTCGTGCGATCTTGATTCTGTGCCTCTGTTTATACAACCCAGGATTGTATTAGCTTTTTTGGTTGCTGCTGCACACTGCTGGCTCATAGTCAAGTGATTGTCCACTAGGACTCCAAGGTCCCTCTCACAGTTACTGTTTTTAAGCTGGGTCACGCCCAATCTGTATTTGAGCCTTTTGTTTTTCCTGCCTAAGTGTAGGACTTTGCTTTTCTCCACATTGAAACTCATTTTGTTGGATAGGGCCCATTGTTCGAGTTTGTCGAGATCTTTTTGGATCCTGAGTTTGACTTCTGGGGTATTGGCTATTCCTGTCAGTTTGGTGTCATCTGCAAATTTGATGAGTTCCCCTTCAATTCCCTCATCTAAGTCATTTATGAAGATGTTGAAGAATACTGGGCCTAAGATGGAATCTTGTGGTACCCCACTGCTTACTTCTCTCCGTGTAGTGCTGTTGAGGACTACTCGTTGAGTGAGGTTTGTCAGCCAGCTACAGATCCATCTGGTGGTGATGTTGTCTATTCCACCTTTTTCTAGCTTGTCAATTAGTAGGTTGTAGTCTACTTTGTCAAATGTCAAATAGGTGAGGCTGCTTTATTTGCGCCAAATCCCATTTTGCTTGTTGTTGCCGACTGGCATAGACTTCAAGATGTTATAGCTCTGTCTCAGGAAGCCAAAGACCGAACTGGGAGTCCAAATAGTTGCCCTGCAGAATCACGGCCCCTTCCCATAGTTGAGATAATTAGGCTCATCCTTTTCTTTCAGGCCCACCTTAAAGGGGTGTTGTAAGGATGAAATGGGAAAGGGGAGGATCAGTGTGCCACTCTGAACTCAGGTTAAACATAGAACATACATAAGTTACAGGGCTGGGCAGTGCTTTGGATTTGAAGGCACAACATTTGGTGCAGATGTGAGCTGCTGGCGACTCCTTAAAATAACAGTGTCTTCACCAAATCCCACTGCAGCTGTGGAAAGCAGCCACCTGATCCCTGGAAAAGATGCAGCTGCTTTGCAGAGTTGTGGAGGGATGCTAGCTGAGCGCTCCAGCGCACTCCAAACAATCATTTTCTTTTTGAATCCCAAATGCTGCATAGCGCTAGGAATAAAATAAGTGCTGAGATCGTGCTCTGCCAGTGGCCTGTTTTTAATTTACACATGCTGAGACTTGCATATTGTAGCCACTGATGTATTCTGTGTAGCAGAAGAATTCTAGATGCCTCAAGCATGCACATGTGCGTGTGCGCTCACACACAGAGACACACACACACTTGTGCACACTTGAAAGGTCTGGACCTTTGGCTGCCTGAACTGGCCCTGGATTTCTCTGCCTTGGCATTGTAGCCTTAATGTGGACAGTCCCTGATGGAAATGGGCCAGAAATAGAGAGATCAGATTTCAGCCAGACAGCAGAACCAGATCGCTGCCTTGGGAAGCAAATGTAATCTGATCTTGGGGAACTGGGCTGCTGGTAATATCTAGGCACCCCTCTATGTTGGAAGCAATCCTCCATTTTTATTATATCAACTACTGTTCACAGTGTTGGAAGCAGGCCTTTTATTTATGTAGACTGATGTAACTGTGGCAGAATCACCAAGTGTGAGGGAAGAAAAAAAAATAGAAGCTGAATAATTGGATTCTGGAATGGGTAGATATCAGTACAATAAGGCTGGCTTAAAAAAACGAAGTTTAAGGAATTTCCCGCCATGGTGTTTGCCCTCTTGAAGAGCATTTCCTTGAAACTGGGAAGATTCTGACTTCATTAGCCTTATGGAAAGCCTTAAAAAAACTTTCCTTTTCCTCCATCTGCCATGGGCAGGATGTTAGGTGAGCAGGACCTGCATGGTTTGAATAATAAACATTATCTTTAGTGGGCTCTGGCACATTGTATACTGTATATTTGTTTGCTGGTTTCTTTGCAGACTGTAAAGTACTGTTAACTGGCCATATTGATTGTTTAAATAAATAAAATCTTGAGAATGAATGAGCATTCTAAACCACCTCTATCAATTGAGCCTTCCATAACTAATTAATAATAGAAAACCTGACCTGATCGTATAAACATACACATTTATTAAACAAACCAACCAAATAGGCTGCAAGGAAAGCTGGAAAATTTGTTAGGTGGAGGAAAAAGGTCTAATTAGTGTTGAATTTAATATTTGCTGGATCTTTTTTGGTGTCCCCACAGAGCAAACATGTGATGTCAGCCGAGCCTGGCTTGACAAATTACACAAAAACTCCCAACAGTCCAATAAGGCCATGGAATAATGGCCTAACATAAATGCTCTTAGCATAGAGGTTTTGATCTCATTTTTCATGATGACAGTTTTTGCATTTTTCTCCTCCTTTCTGCTGCAAAAGTTTGGTAGGATACATGCTAATTTTCTATTCTGTCAACTCTAAATAAGTCTGGTGAACTGACTTGATTGCGAGAGATCCTGAAGGGGATTGTATATAAATAGCAAATCAAGAAACAAGCTGCATCAGATTGGCCCAGAACAGATAATCCTCAACTTCAATTTATGACCCCAGTTGGACCAGAATTTACATTGCTAACCAAGGCATTGTTTAAACTGAATCATGCCCAATTTAGACTTTTTTGCCATGGTTGTTAAACAAATCAGTGCATTTGTTAAGTGAATCCAGCTTCCCCCGTTAACTTTGCTTGTTGGAAATTATCTGGGAAGATGTGAAAAGACGATCACATGACCACAGGATGCTGTAACCACCGTAGACGTGAGCCAGTTGTCAAACATCTGAATTTTGATCACATGGCCGTGGAGATGCTGCAATGGCCCAAAGAAGAGAACAAGTCATAAATAACTTTTTTCAGTGCCATTGTCATATCAACTGTCACTACCTCTAAGCATTTTGAGAAAGCAGGAATTGTAAACCTCTTCCAACACCTTGCTCACTCTCTCTCTTTTATGGATTCTTCAGAGATTTTTTACTTTTAGGGAATTCATTCCCTGTTGAATGTGCACAAGACGTGTTTGTCGTGCTTGGGCTGTAGAATTCCAGCTGACCACTAAAGATCAGTAAAGAATAGTTTTCTATGACTCTTTACTATCATCTAACAGCCACCCAGATTTTTGCAGGCCAGAAATGAGCTTGACTGTCAGATAACCCTCATATATGTATGTCACAAGCAGCTACAATACATGCTAGAACATGGGCAGGTTTTGTGCATCTGTGGGTCACACAACTTTGCTTTTATTGTTGCTTTTTTATCACTGAGGATCACAGGGGGACAGGTCCAGTAGTTCCATGATTCCTCAAGGGTGGGAATGGATAATTTGATCCTTTGGAGATATGTTTTAAGTGGTGAAATGACTGCCTTAATAGAAATTTAAGAGACGTATTTTGTCCCTTAGAACTATATAAAAAAGTAGCTTGCAGAGACTAAGCTCTCTGCAAAAGTGAAATTCTCCCCCAAGCTTTCAAAAAGGGCCACAAATCTTAGGTGTTTTGGATCAAGATGCTCTAGAGCAAGGATATCTAATCTTTTGGCTTGACTGGGCCATGTTGATTGAAGTCTTGGGTGTTTGGGGCTGCACATAAAATATATAGTTAATGTATATAAATCACACAATAATATTAAACATTTATGATCTTGTGAGTCCATGGGCCGCATGTTGGACACGACTGCGGTAAAGAGTACTACAGGTAGTCCTTGATTTACAACAGTTCATTTAGTGACTGTTCAAAGTTATAACGGCACTGAAAAAAGTGCCTTATGACCGTTTTTTTCACACTTACGACCGTTGCAGCATCCCCATGGTCATGTGATTCAGGTGCTTGGTAAATAACTCAGGTTTATGACAGTTGCAGTGTCCCTGTGTCACGTGATCACCTTTTACAACCTCCTGACAAGCAAAGTCAATGGGGAAGCCAATTTCCCTTTACAATCATGTTACTAACTTAACAACCTCAGTGATTCACTTCACAGCTGTGGCAAGAAAGGTCGTAAAATGGGACAAAATTCACTTAACAACTGAGTCACTTATCAACAGAAATTTTGAGCTCAATTGTGATCATAAGTCGAGGACTACCTGTATAAATAAGCTTGCTACCGTAGGAAGGCCACATGTCCTTGCAAGACACAGATTAACCACCTCTGTGGAAAGACAGGCCTTAAATCGCATCGGGCAGGGGTAGGCAACCTTGGCTCTTTTATGACTCGTGGACTTCAACTCCCAGAATTCCTGAGCCAGGAATTCTGGGAGTTGAAGTCCACGAGTCATAAAAGAGCCAAGGTTGCCTATCCCTGCCATAGGGCATTGGTCTGGTTGCCTATTGTTGCCTCTCGTGGATCCTGGCAAAGCTTCGGTTTAGATACGTGAAGGTCCAGAGCAAAGTAACCAGTTTCATTCTCCGCTGATGGGTCTCTTCCTTTTTACCTATCCATAACCCCAAGCCGCTTTGATTTCCATTGACTATAATGCTGCCAATTTTATATCAATCAAGAACATTGTGGAAAACTAAAATGGCAGCTGCTGGCTTTTTAAAGGGGGGGGCACTGGGCAAGTGTTGGGGTGGGGTCCTGGCAGCTGTCCAGAGATGCAGGATGTGAATGCTAGATTAGATCATAGCGCACCCTCCACTCTCCTGTACAGTGTAGGGAAAGAATTAATCTTTTCATGCAGGACTCTTGAAAAGGTTTCAAGGGGCCTTGGGGTGCTTTGGATCACAAGTTGGAGAATTACAGCAATGGTAGTGTAGTTTCATCTGTCAGAACCATGACATGTAGATTGTTCAAGATGTTCAGAAAGATTGTGGTGGTGGGCTTCAGGGCGGGCATGCCGAGGGCTGTCTGCATTTTTAAGGAGCAAGAACTTCCTCTGCCATTCTTTGCCCTCTTTTGAGTCCTCCCTTCTGTGCCAAAAGGGAAACAATGGGAAATTTGGGTGGGGGGACGGGAGAGATGCAAAACAATATTGTATTATGACATTTCTCTCTCTCTCTCTCTGTCTCTCTCTCTCTCTCTCTCTCTCTCTCTCTGAATAAACAGTGAAGGAATTTCTGGAGTCCTGTTCTGAGCAGCTTGTGGGATTTTTGAAATCATAAACAATGAAAGAGTTTTGCTTGGTTTTCTTTTCCTTTTTTTTTTTTAACTTTTCAGGCCCTGGTGTCAATGGAATAAAGCAGGAGGGTGGAAGTGGAGAGAATTATATAGAATCAAGCACAATTTTTGGCAGGGGAGGAAGAGAAGTGGAAAGGCCTTTCCAGACCAGAAATAACTGCTAACCCTTTCGATTGCTTGCACCTGGCCTGCAGCAATTCACTGAGTTCACTCCCTAATGGGATTTTGGGGGGGGGGGGGGAGAGGAAAAAGACAACATGGTGTCTTATTCCAAGACCCCAGAATGCATTGCTCTATTCTTCTGGATTGTTGCCTTGGTACTGAGCAGTGGGAATACTAGTGAACCTCTTTGATTCAGAGCCGGAGGGATGCCTTTTCAGATCTGGATTGAAACCAACGACACCAATTATCAGGAAAATTGAGGTCATTGCTTAAAATCTCTAGGCCAAGGTTTTTGGGATTTCTGACAACTGGGGTACCTCTTTGACACCCCCCCACCCCCCACCCCCCGCCATTCTAAATTAAAAATGGATGAGTTCATTCAGAAAAAATGTACTTTTAGAAAGTGCTTATTAATACCGTAGAACTCCTGCTTGAGTTGCTGATCAGGACATATAATATTTAGTCTTTGGAAGAATCATTAAATTATGCAGGGAGACAACAGGAAACCTCTGGGTATTTTTGCACTGTTCAGCACAGAACGGTTTAGTGTACCCAGATGTGGCAGAGTTTCTCAAAAGCTAAGGAAGCAAAGCCAAATCTGTAACTCAGGCAGAAGTCTATCATAAGGAGACTAGGGTGGAGGCTGGTTGCTTTGGTAAGGATTATTTTATTGATTCTTTTTGAAGCCAGCAATTTTCTTGGGATGGAAGGTGCTAGATTGCAATATCTGTACAATCTCAGGCCTGAGATATCATATATTGAACAAAAGCTACAGCAGAAACTGCAGCTCAAATGTTTTCCAACTCTGTGCTGTGGGAACTTAGCTAATTTGGTTTATTTATTAACCTTCGCCAAGGAAAACATAGTGCGGCATTTAAACCCTAACAACTTTTTCTTGTCTTGGGACTAAAGCCTGTTGATTCACCACGGATTAAAAATTGTGCCCCAAATGCTAAAATAGTTAAAAGTCCATATATTTAGGCCACGTTTGTCTTTTGTGTTACAGGATCCCGTTTGGATGAACTCAATGGGACGCTGGAGCAGATGGAATTTAAATCTCTTCAATGGTTTGGAGCCACGGTGCGATCACACGGCAAATCCATCTTGGTAAGTATTGGCTGTCATAATGGATAATTGAGCAGGAGGTGCCGTGCAAATGACTGGAGCTCAGTCACAGGCATTTTGCTTGCTTCCTTCGGTGATGGTGATGCTTTGGATGGTAGATGTGGGAGCACAAGAATCTCTGATCCCAGGAGAGATGCTTCAGGATGGTTGAAGTTGCCACAACCACATTGTTGGCTGTTGTGCAATCAGCTGAAATCTGGGAGTGATGAAATCCCAAAAATAAAGTATTTTCTTCCTGTGTCTTGAGAAACAAAAACCACAGTACCACTGCACTGATTCTGGAGACATTTGCCCTTCTCACCCACTGTGTGGAAATAGTAGTCCTTTCATCCACAGACTCATAGCAATTGTACATGCCCTTATCTTAGAGTAAGGCTCCTCGACCAAAGCTGGACTTAACTTCTTAGTAAACAAACACAAGACACTGCTAACTCCACTGTCTCTCCTGATCACCTTACCGTTTAATTCATGTTCACATTAGAAGGCCAGGCGTCTTACTTTCAGTCATTGTTATTTATGCTACAATTGCAACCCAAGGTCTCTGGTCACATCATATTACCAAAATTTTGTGAAAGACATTTTTAAGGATGACTGCAGAGCAGCTTTTTCCTATCTGTTGTCCTCGTTGTACCAGAAGTGCAGCTCCCATAAATCCAGCCAGTTCTGCTGTTCCAGCTGGGTGATGGGAGCTGTTGCCAAACGTTGATGGGTAGGCACCAAATTAGGCAGTCAGTACAGATTATTCTTATGCTGGGTTGCAAACAACTTTTTTTAAAGGCATGATAGCAATAGCACTTAGACTTCTATACTGCTTCATAGTGCTTTGCAGCCCTCTCTAAGCGATTTACAGACTCAGCCTATTGCCCCCAACAATCTGGGTCCTCCTTCTACTGACCTCGGAAGGATGGAAGGTTGAGTCAACCTTGACCCGGTCAGGATCGAACTCCTGGCAGTGGGCAGTGAGTTAGTCTGCAGTATTGCATTCTAACCATTGCACCACCACAGCTCTTATGATAGCAATAGCACTTAGACTCATATACTTCTTTGTAGTACTTTACAGCCCTCCCTAAGCGGTTTACAGAGTCGGCCTATTGCCCCCAACAATCTGGGTCCTCATTTTACCGACCTCAGAAGGATGGAAGGCTGAGTCAAGCTTGATCAGTAAAGGAAAATTGAAACTCTGGCTTAGCCAACTCCTAGGCTAGTTTTTCTATTGATAAGCATGCTACAGATAGTCCTCAACTTACAGCAGTTGTTTTAGTGACTGTCTGACGTTCCAATGGCATCGGAAAAAAGTGACCTATTATTGTTTTTCACACTCACAACCATTGCAGCATTCCCCCCATGGTCACGTGATCAAAATTCAGACGCTTGGCAACTGACTCATATTTATGACCGTTGCAGTGCCCCAGGTGGGGTCACGTGATCACCTTCTGCGACCTTCTGACAAGCAAAGTCAATGGGGGGAAGCCAGATTCACTTAATAACTGGGTTACTGACTCAGCAACTGCAGTGATTCACTTAACAACTGTGGCAAGAAAGGCCGTAAAAGGGGTCAAAATTCACTTAACAACCATCTCGCTTAGCCACAGAAATGTTGGGCTCAATTGTGGGTCGTCGGTCAAGGGCTCCCTGTACTTATTTCCCAGTTGCTAAGATTCTTTTGCCACGTTCTTCTTCAAAATCTGTTTTACGGCTTCTGGACTTTCAGATAAAGGAAACAAGGAGTTCAGGATTGGATGTCTTCAGAATGTGGTTTTTTTTAAAAAAAAAATGTAAGTGGTGTGTGTGTGTGTGTGTGTGTGTGTAAAGGTAAAGGTTTTCCTGTCCAGTCATGTCCAACTCTAGGGCATGGCGCTCATCTCTGTTTCTTGGCCAAAGGAGCCCAGCACTGTCTGAAGACATTTTCTGTGGTCATGTGGCCAGCATGGCTATATGCCTTAAAGGTGCACGTAACACTGCTACCTTCCCACTGAAGTGGTATCTATTACAGGTAGTCCTCCAGTTACGAGCACAATTGAGCCCAACATATAAGTTGCTAAGTGAAACATTTGGTGAGTTTGCCCCATTTTACCGCTTTTCTTGCCATGTTGATAAATGAATCATTGCATTGGTTAAGTTAGTCACACGGTTGTTAAGTAAATCTCTCTTTCCCTCCCTCCCCCCACTAACTTTGCTTGTCAGAAGGTCGAAAAAGGAGGAATCACATGATCCCGGGACACTGCAACCTTCGTAAATATGAACCACTTGCCAAGCGTCTGAATTTCAATAAATGTGACCGTGGGGGAGGTGGCAACGGTTGTGAGTGTGAAAAACGGTCCAAAGTGACTTTTTTCAGTGCCGTTGTAACTTTGAATGGTCACTAAATGGACTGTTGTAAGTCGAGGACCACATGTAATCTATTTGTATTTGAATGCTGTTAGGTGGGCAAGAGCTGGGGCAAGGAAGGGGAGCGCTCACCCCGTTGCGAGAGCAGGCTTTTAAAGCAATAATATCCTGCTTTTAACAGTGCAGATTAAATTATGTCAGTGAAATATACATTTGCAAATCCCGTTGATCTGGCAGGTTTTTAAAATTGATCTTATCTAGGTGCAGCATTTTGGTAACCTTAGCTGGGAATCTTATGTCCGGTATGTGCTGATTTCATTTAACCACATGTACTGATGAGAGGAGCCTGTACAGGCTGAGTTATCCCTGATAGTTTAGACTGCAAAGATAGGAAAAATACACGGTACGAAGACCAGCCCTGCCATTAGCCTACCTCTTGCCTTGTGATTTTAGGGTAGAAACAGATTACCCCTCACTGCATGTTCTCTCTTTTAAAATGTCCCCTGTGATTTTTCTCTGAGCACTTCAGGAACTGGATCATGGTCTGCAAGTTTAGGGAACAACAGGAACGTGCAAGGCTGAACCTCATGGCAAGATCGGTCCTTCTTTGTGGCCTGAACTAGCTTCCATCAGCTGCAGCTACTGAGGGATGATCTGTTTCTGAACTCTAAATGACAGGAGCCAGTGTGGTGTCGGGGTTAAAGCTATTGGAGTAGGACTAGAGCAGGGGTAGACAACCTTGGCTCTTTTATGACTCGTGGACTTCAACTCCCAGAATTCCTGAGCCATGCTGGCTCAGGAATTCTGGGAGTTGAAGTCCACGAGTCATAAAAGAGCCAAGGTTGCCTATCCCGGACTAGAGAGATGCAGGTTTATGCCCACTCTGAGCCATGGAAATTCCTTTTTTTTTTTTTTTTGGATGCCTTCTGGAAATGCACTCCTTACCTACCTCAAAGGGTTGTTGTTTGAAGAAAAAAATTGAAAAGGGTGTGCTTCTGTATGTCATGTTGAGCCTCCTGAAGGAAAGACGGAGGGGCGAGGAAGGGGCAGGGATAACAAGCAAAAAAATAAAATCAGGCAGTTGCGGATGTCCCTGTTTGTTGTTTCAGAACAGGCTGGTATTCCAGTTTGCAACCTGAATTTGAAAGCTGCATACAAGTACCCAAAACTGCAAGTGGTTTTGCAGCCTGCAAAAGCCAATTGTGACTCTCTGATCTCCCAATCAATCAATCTTTTATTACGGTCACAGATCAGACTCTGCTCTCCCCAGATTGCATTGGTTTCCAGACTGGCATGGTCCCAAATGCTCAGAAGTCTCAGCTGGCTGGGGAATTCTGGGAATTGAAGTCCACCCATCTGGAGATCACTAATGTTAAGAAAAGCTTCTGTTGTACAGTTAGTTCAATATTCAAGATGGCCTAGGCAGCTTCTTGATTGCCCCTTTCTATTTTGATTTAGTTGGGAAATATTTGTTCTTCCACCCTTAATGCTATCGTTGAGTCAGCCTTCCTGCCATTTTCGAGAAACTGGCTTCTTGTCCAGTGGTTTGTGATAACAGAAGAGAGTTATCTTACGTCCTCTTTGAAGCAGCTGAGTATTTAAAGATAGCTATCGAGACCTACTTGTTACATTACACTCAGCCTGTCTCCTTTGTGGCAGGGCTTTTCAACAAAAAGAGGCTGCCCCATGTTTTAGGCTGCCAGCCTTCAAACCAACAATATATGGAAGGATCTTGTTGCAAATTCCTGTGTGTATAAAATGGCTTTATAATGCCCATTGTTTATTCTCTCTGCTTGTTGTGTTTTCTTAAAAGAGAAAAGAACGCCGCAAAGTGTATACATTTCATTCATTGTTCTGCTTGTGCTATTCAACGGGAGGGGCAGGTCTGTACAGGGCGATGAAATCTAAACTCTGACATTTTGGACTTCGGAGAATCCTGCTCAGATTTTCCCCTCCCCTTTCCCCTCCTCTACACACATTTGTCTTCTAAATCTATGGATCTCAACATCTTGAACAAAATCTTTCTACCCACGAAGGCTAGAAATGTTGCAGATTAATCCTGTCACCACTAGCAGTGAGCAGAGAGGCTGTTTCATCCAAATCCCAAAAGGGAAGAAGAGATAAAGGCATGGCCTTTGGGCTTGTCATCAATCTGGTACCACTTTCTAGGTTTTTTGTTTAAAAAAACCCCCACAAATTTGTCCTATAACGTTTAACGGGAGAAAAATTAATCAACATTATCTCGAGGGTTGGTGTTAATATACTACTGGTCTGAAGACTGTAGATCAGTGGTTCTCAACCTGTGGGTCGGGACCCCATTTGGGGTCGATCGACCATTTCACGGGGGTCGCCAAGAAAGGCTGTCCGCCATTTTTTTTGTCCGCCATTTTTTTTGTCCGCCATTTTATCCCCTTTTCCGGCGGGTGCCTTACCTCCCTTGGGCTGGGCCAGCTGGTGGTCGGCCTGCTCCGTCTCTGCCGCTTGCCTCGGCCGGCGCAGGGGGCGGAACCGCGCATGTGCAGCGCTCCCGGGCAGGGAAAGTCCTCGACTTACGACCGGTTGGGTAGTCCTCGACTTACGACCGGTTGGGTAGTCCTCGACTTATGACCGGTTTAGTCCTCGACTTACGACCAGTTTAGTCCTCGACTTACGACCGGTTGGGGTCGCGGCATTAAAAAGGTTGAGAACCACTGCTGTAGATCCTGCCAATTCATTGCTTCTTCCAAGAAGCCTCTAAACAGACATTTGGAATGAAGAATGTTTCCTTGGCCACTTCAAGGGGAAGTTTGAATTTTCTATTTAATAAATTCTTGGTTACTATACCTCTAAAAAAAAAAAAACCTTAGAAAATTTTTTTGTTATCAACATCTGCATTTAGTTTTACCTGACACTAATTACAAGGGTTCGTGGGTCAAGAATCCTATTACAGCTGTTGCTTCTTCCCTACTTCAATCGTTACTTGGCTATACTGCAATTGCTGCTTCAACTCTCCAACGCCCTGAATTCAAGAGAAAGAGGGGTGTAGCTAAAAAGGCAATTTCGGAAATGGGGAAGAGAAGACCCTCCAGCTCTTTAAGCATGCGGGTTTGGGGTTTGGAACCATTGTATAGGGAAATAACTCTTTTCTCTTCTGGAGTCGTTGCGTTCTTCCCCCAAATTATATTAGAGACACGTTTTATTTTATTATCTGTTTGCTTAAACTATAAAGGTAGATAGAAAGAAGGGTAGATAAATTATTTTTCCTCAAATTTGATTTCAGGGTGCTTTGCAAAATCAAATACTCAAAGTCTGAACTATAGATTGCTCCTATAAGAAACAAGGGAGAGTGAAAAGTAGAAACAGTTCCAGGAAGAAGCAGAAGCTGGGATTTTAAGCAACTTCTAAAACTTGTCAGCTTTAGCAGAGGCTGCACTGGGAAGTCTCCAAGCAGTATTTATACATTTTAAGAACTGATATCCAAAACAGGAACTCATATTGATTAACAAATCGGAAGACACTTTTGCAGAGTTTTAGACGCACTGTCAAACTCATCCTGCCTTAAACAAATTGCTGCCAGTGATGAGGCTAGAGGGATGAGCATGGTTTTATTTTTCTACTGAATCAAGGTATTTGGCTGCTTCAGATGAAGAAGCGGTTATCAGCCATCTTCTTATTCCATGGAAATGACCTTACTTTTGTCAACATCAGCAACAGAGCAAGATTTTCCATTGCAACTTAAGACAGAAAGATAGCAAGGCTGCGTATATGTATAAGTGTGTGGGCCACATGGCCTCCAACATCTGTCTATTACCTCCTGGCTCAGGAATTCTGGGAGTTGGTCCACGAGTCATAAAAGAGCCAAGGTTGCCTACCCCGTCCTAACATCTGTTGCTTGAGTCGGCTGCCTGAGAGGAACTGATGTCCAGAATGGGATAAGAACTCATTTGCTTGTGAATGAAGGTGCTGGGAAGGAAGTTAGTTGTGGGAGAAGCTTTGGAATAGTTACTCTGTGAAGGTGGAGTTTCCCTCTGGTAGGGCCTGGCCTGGTTGATCTAATAACAACAGTGGAAAGGTTGACTGCAGGTTAGATGCCACTCGTTGACCCTTGATCTCTCTGTCTTTGCTTACTAGGCTGATTTTTTTCCCCCTACTAGGCCTGTGCCCCCTTGTACAGCTGGCGGACAACTAAGGATGAACCTCAACAAGAAGTTGTGGGCACATGTTACCTGTCAATCAACAACTTTACTAAATTTGTGGAATATGCTCCTTGCCGCTCAGGTAACCTGTGGTCCATGAGGGAAGGGGTTGTTAATGAAAATATTATTGAATAACTTCATCCTCTAAAGTAATGAATCGTCAATGGGGAGGGGAGCCTCAATACATCTGGCTAGGGTCTCCAACCTTTGAAGTCTATTGGACAATTTGAAACATAGAGAGCATGCCGTGGACCCTCTTAGAAAATGGCTGCAGTAAGAGAGCTTACTCATTTACAGAATGGCAGTTGTGGTCCATATCTCTACCCCCTTTAGCCTCTCTTCGCAGAAAACAATCATATTTATCCCTGGTCATTTATGACCTTTCTCTGAATAGATGATCCAGAACTGAAAGCATGCTTTAGAGATGTAAAACGTCAAGTGGAGCAGGGACATGTAAATATCACAGGAGGTGTCTATGGCACACTGGCAATGCTAGATTCCCAGACTGGAGGCCTTTATGGCATATTTTGGAGTATGGCACAGTGTGGAATAGTAGTTAAAGTGCTGGCCTAGAAACCAGGAGACTATGAATTCTAGTCCTGCCTTAGGCATGAAAGCCAATTGGGCGACCATGGGCCAGTCACTCACTCTCAGCTCAACCCACCTCACAGGATTGGTTTGTGGAGAAAAGAGGGAGTATTACGTATATTGGCCACCTTAAGTTATTTATAAAAATAATAAATCAGATAGATAGATAGATAGATAGACAGACAGACAGACAGACAGACAGACAGACAGACAGACAGACAGACAGACAGACAGACAGACAGACAGACAGACAGACAGATAGATAGATAGATAGATAGAGTTGTTGTAGTCTTCTCAGTGATCCTTTCCAAATATTTGTTGTGTGCTTCTCAGAGTTCTCTTTGGTGACATGGGTGGCTCTATAAATTTGATTAATAAATAAAAAATGTGAATTCTAAGCCATAATCCCAAAACACATATGTAAGGGAGTGTTGTTCCATGTCTGGGCTTTTTGGAAGGCAAGGCACAGTTAGTGCCTCTTTCCAGATGGCATTAAATTAAAATATTGTTTTACCTGCTTCCTGGCAGAAATCTCTTTCTGTCTTGACTAGGGTTGTGGGAAACTACTTGGGGAATGAAACATTCCTTTGAACTAAAGAACATTCTATTCCCCTCTGGACTATGCCACTCTGGGGCAACATAATTGTTTCTGGATTGGAAACAGTTTGAGGTATCCTAGGCATGGCATTCTGGATGAAACAGGCCTATTTCGTGCCCAGACCACACCCAGGATGCCTCAAACTGCTTCCAGTTTAGATGATTTACTTCTGAAAACCGCCAGACCACCCCCGGAATGGCATAGTCCAAAGGAGATTGGCTATTCCAGAGGAGAAGCAGAATGTTCCATTCCCAAATAGAAAAACTTGGCATATCTCCACTTGTAACACATCTTTCCACTTTTATCATTCAGGAAGTATTAATGAATGTTTAAAGAAATACATCCCGCTGTTTTATTAAAATAAGCAATTCATGTATGGGGTTTTGGGTTTTTGTTTTGGATAAGAAAAGAAAAGATAATAACCTTTATTGTCATTTTTTACTGTGGGTACAATGACACACATCAAAAATGAAGTTTAGTTGCCCGCTCTCAAAGTGAACACATACATGACACACACCTAAACATACTATATGCAACATATACATACCATATACAACATACGTATAACATATGTTTTGTTTTGTTTTTTTGAGCTCTGCTGCAGGATGGAAAACCTGTGGCCCTCCTGATTGTTAATGGACAGCACATGTTGCCCATGCCTGATGCTCAGTCATTATGATTATGAAGCTTTGCTCAGTTTGTATCAGATTAAATGAGGGGTTTAATTTGAGAGATAGAGAAGCGAGGGAAGTAGAAGAGATAATCTTGGATTCCTACTTCCTGATGCCTTTAAGTGGGAGTTTTGTCCTGATCCTCCTCCAATACATTTGCACATCCATGTGCAGAAAACACAATCGAAAGACATTGCATTGAAAAATTCAAGCTGCAATATCAATGGTTTCTTACGTTACCCACATCAACTGTTGTTGCACCATGATTTCATGTCACTCATTACTTGTTCAGCTTCTCTGAATTTCTCAACTCTCTTCTTCCCTCTCTCTCTCTCTCTCTCTCTCTGTCCTGCCAGATCTGAACTCCCCTGCTGGACAAGGCTATTGTCAAAGTGGTTTCAGTGCTGAATTCACAAAGGTCAGTTTCCTTCCTTCTTGAGTGTGGGGCAAGGTATGGACAATGCAGGTTAGGACATTTAAGGGGGAAATCTCAAATACATTAAGGTAGAGGGGGTTAAATAAAGAGTTTTGTGGATTTTAAACATTGTCTTTCTTTCTGCAGGCAGGAAGGGTTCTTCTCGGTGGCCCTGGAAGCTACTTCTGGCAAGGTGAGTTGGCAGCTGCACACCCTAGGGCTAAGTCTGCCCACAATTGCACGATATAGGTTAGGCAGACCTTCCACAGCATAGCCTGGTTTCATCTCTTTGCCTTCAACTCAAGTAGCAGTGGGAAACAGTACTGTGAAGAATTTTAATTTGGCATGAAGGAAGAGAAGAGAAAAGGCAGCAGAAGCAAACACTAGGGAGATTTGTATATTTTTAAAAAAATGCTGGGAATTTGAGATAAATGAGATTTTGTATGCCTGGAGAGAAGTAGATGTTGCCATATTTTTCAAAGTGGCTGTTCAGGCCATAGGGGAATCTGTTTTTGCAAACCTTGCAAAGCTGATCTAATGGAAATACACGTTGTCCTCAACTTACAACCACAACTGAGCCCAAAATTTATGTGGCTAAGCAAGACAGTCGTTAAGTTAGTGTTACCTCATTTTACGACTTTTCTTGCCACAGTTGTTAAGTGAATCACAACAGTTGTTAAAGTTAGTGACATGGTTGCTAAGGGAACCTGGCTTCCCCATTGACAACGCTTGTCAGAAGGTTGCGAAAGATGATCACATGACCCTAGGACAGGGGTAGGCAACCTTGGCTCTTTTATGACTCATGGACTTCAACTCCCAGAATTCCTGAGACAACATGGCTGGCTCAAGAATTCTGGGAGTTGAAGTCCATGAGTCATAAAAGAGCCAAGGTTGCCTACTCCTGTCCTAGGACAGTGGTGGCGAACCTATGGCACGTGTGCCAGAGGCAGCACTTGGAGTCCTCTCTGTGGGCACATGTGCCATTGCCCCAGCCTCGCCTCCCCCCACGACCCCCTCCTCACCAGCAGCCCCCCTGGAGGAGAGTCGCCCCCCCAAGCGTGGCCCACTCAGAGCAGCGCAGGCAAGGACATAGCAGCTAGGCAGCGTAGATAAGACTCGGCCCTCATGCCCCATCCCGCACAGTTGATGCTGTGGGGTGCGGGCAGAGGGCGTGGCCGCCATGGTGCTGCTGAGCTGCCTGGGCGATCTGCGGCAGGCCCTGGAGGCGGTGAGTGGCCCTGCGGGCAGGCAGGGTGGGGGACAGGGTGGGGGCGGGGCAGAGGACGGAGCGGGGGCAGGGGCGGGGCCAGTTTTTGGGCACTTGGTCTCTAAAAGGTTCACCATCACTGCCCTAGGACATTGCAATTGTCATAAATATGAATCATTTGCCAATTTTCATCACATGACCATACGGATGCTGCAACAGTCATAAGCAGTGCTTTTTTTCTAAAAAAAAAAAAAAAGGTGCCGGAACTCACACACGTCATACAACCCGCCTTGCCTACCCTACAAGGTTCCATCCAAAAAAGGTGCCGGAACTCCGTTCTGGGCGTTCTATGAGAAAAAAAGCCCTGGTCATAATTGTGAAAAACGGTGAGGAGTCACTTTTTCCAGTGCCATTGTAACTTCGAACAATCACTAAATGAACTGTTGTTCAATCCAGGACTAACTATATACTTTCTTTTGCTTCCATGTGTCCTTTTCCTCCCTCCCCACAACCTCCAAATGGTGTCCCAGGACATGTACTGGCTGACCTAATGGGCTCTCAACAGAAAATGAGTGATTTTCATTCAAGCTCTTATATCAATTTGATATAGAGAAAAGGAGGCCTCCATGGGATCCAGTAGAATCCCTTTTAGAGGGCTAGGGAGGGACTGGACTCTTTCCAACACGTATTTCCCTCTGTTTTTGTTACTTGAAATACATTGTGTTTTATGTATTCATTATCTGACAATGTTTATTTGCCTGATCAGATAAATCTTATTATTCTTTGTCCTATTTTTGAGTGCAGCTTCTCATCCATGGGGGTTGGAATTACTTTCTTTAGTTTGGGCAGGAAAGTAGCAGCTAAGATTCACAATCAGCATTATTGTAATATATTTTGTTTACAAGTTCCGTGTGACTGTTGATAACCATAAGCACCAGCTGCCTCACATTTCTGAACATTGTCTCCTGCAATCTTTCTCTGGCATCTTTCAAATGCAGCATTATGTTATTTCTTGCCTTTCTCCCCTCCCCTCCACCCAAAAAAACCTTCTCTCACATATCTCCATAGCAATTCTGTGAAATAACTTGAGTTGCAAGTCATTAATAATTTTCCTTACCTTAAGAATCTTCCAGCCTAAGTGGGGATTTGAACCTGGGTCTCTCTGATCTTAGTCCAACACACTTAGTTGTTGCAATCTGCTTGCTCTTTAGGCCAAGTGATCTCAGCAACTCAAGAGGCCATTGAAGAATCCTATGACCCTGAGTATTTAATCGTTGTGGTTAAAGGAGAGCTCAAAACACAACAGACTCACCTCAAAGCGGATGACAGTTACCTAGGTGAGTTCGACAGAGAAGACAGATGATAAAGAAGCAGCCTTGACTTTGACAGATTTTTTTTTTTTTGTCCTGGCAGCCATCTGCTTCGGTTAATTTTGTGGAGCATGGATAGGAATCCTAAATTATAGGATTGATTTTTCTCAGATGTTGACTCATTTATGTATTTATTTTTATCCTGACATCATCGTTGTTGTTGCTGCTGTTGTTGTTATTGCTGTTGATTTGATCTCCGAGCTTAGCAATTTGGCTGCAAACGTTTCATCTCCATTCAGGAGGGGGACATCTTCAGTGTGCTTTGAATTGAATTTCAATTCAAACCACACTGAAGATGCACCCCCCCCCCCCGAATGGAGACGAAACACTTGGAGTCAAATCGCCAAACTCGGAGATCAAGCCAATAGTCCAACTATCAACCCAAGCTACTAATATTCAAAATAACAACAACATTATTATTATTATTATTATTATTATTATTATTATTATTATTATTATTATTATTATTATTATTATTATTATTATTATTATTATTATTATTATTATTATTATTATTATATAACTCAAGGTGGTTTACTTACCTAATATTCCTTCCTTCTCCTATTTTCTCCACAATAACCCTGGGAGGTGAGTTGGGCTGACAAAGAGGGACTTCATGCCTAAAGTGGAACTAGAACTCCCCACCTCCTGATTTCTAGCCTGGTGCCTTACCTACTAGGCCAAACTGGCTCTCATCCTCAGATCTGTTTATAGCAGGAGGACTGCTGGACTCCCAAAAGTCAGATCCTTAAAGCGTCCTGCCTTGCTCCTGATTCCAAGGAATTCAACACACACATACAGTTCAACTCTCTTCCCCAAATTGAAAATTCCAGCTCTCTCCCCAATAGAAAACTCAGGCAGGAGCCTCATGGATCCCTTCTGAACTGCAGCACTTCCCTCAACAGGCCTTTTGGTTGGTTCTTCGTTCCTGTAGGCAGCTAAGAACATAAGTGGATCCAGTGTTGAGTCCCTGAGGTGCTCTTTACACAAAGGCCAGGCTGCATGAAAGCAATGACTACGATTCATACCTGGCAGTGAGGGTGAAAGAGTTCCTGGCTTGTCTGATTCTCCTAGCCTAGGGGTCAGCCACTTTACCCGTTCTCAGTTCAGAATAAGGCTAGTTAATGAGTTGCAAATCAAACCCACACACTTGTAAGGTGAATCAGAGGTCACAGTAAACCGCAACCAAACAATATGCTCTGTCTGACCCCTGGTTCTTCATTTCTGGGAGGAAGTGCTGCCTCTGATGTGTGTCATTCCCTAATAGTAAGGTTCGTAAATAACTCAGCAGAGTTGTCCTAGAACAGTCTTTTTCAATCTTGGCCACTTGAAGATGTGTGGATTTCAACTCACAAAATTCCCTAGCGAACAAGGAAAGCATGGCTGGCTGGGGAATTTTAGGAGTTGTAAACCACACATCTTCAAGGTGTCAAGGTTGAAAAAGAGACTGTTCTAGAATACTGTAAATACTGTGGACTTCCTTTGTTTCTGATTGGCTGTCTTTTCAGGGTAACAAACCAAGGTGGATTCACTCTGGAATTGAAATGAGCTCTGTTCTATGGGTTGATCTTTCTTTGGTGCCAAACCGCGAGCATTTTTCACTTTGTGATTGTTGGGTTTTTTTCCCCTCTACAAATGATGATCTATGCTGATCTTTAGGGAAACCACAAGGATTAGCTATTCTAAACCCAACTGAGATGAGGCTGCTTAGGTTATATTTATAGGTTGCCTTCCTGGCTAAACCATAAGCATTATTTTGTGATTTAGGATACTCTGTTGTTCTGCAATGATAAGGGGACTCTCAAATGGTCTTGGTAGCTACTAGAGACAAAGTGTTTGTCACCCATTGCATTATTCCTTGTTTTTTGTTCCTAGGCTATTCTGTGACTGTAGGTGAATTCAGCGGAGATGCCACTGAAGGTACTAAGAGGCTTGAGGGAGAACTATCACATTCATTGCTGTGGGAGATATTCCTTTTCCCCTTTGGGGGGGGAGAAATAAGAAGCTGGGATTGTATATGCACCAACAATTTATATTGCCTTCTAAATGAAATGCCAACTAAATTTGTCAATGAAATCTTTTTTAAAAATATTTTCAGATTGTCTATATAATTCAATTGTTGTTTGTTGGCTACCTCATTCTGATCACCAAAAATGGAGGCTGCCTGTACTTAGGAGAGTTGTTACAATGAATAACCTAGATTTCCTTTTCCTCCATGAGGAGTAGAAACTTATTTCGCTTCAACCTGTGACCATAATTGAGCCTGGCAATTATGGTTGTAAGTTGCGATGGTTGTAAAGCAGGTCATCATGTGACTACGCCTGATTTTACAACCTTTTTAAGATGATTGTTAAGGGAATATGGCAATTGTAAAGCGAATGCTGTGGGTCGTTAAGTGAAGGATGCGGTTGTTTAATGAACTCATTGTTCGCTATGAGCCATTTTTGGTTTCTGACAAAAACATAAATTGCGGTCACGTGGCTGTGGGATACCACGTGCCACTATAAATGTGGGCTGATTCCTGAGTGCCGAAAATCCTGTCACTTGACTATAGGGAGCGGCGGCAGCCATTGAAACTTCAGAACTCAGTCATAAATAGATTTTGGGGGGGGGTCTGTCGTAACTTCAAATAATTGCTAAGTACAAGAATCCATGCTGTAATGCCATATTACATATCTTGTAATCACTTTGCTTCTTACAGATTTTGTGGCTGGTGTGCCCAAAGGAAATCTCACCTATGGATATGTAAGAGCCATATCCGTGTCATTTCTATTTTTTATTGTTCTCAAACAGTCTGTGACACCACCTTCCCCCCCCCTTACTAGAGATACTAGCTTGGGTCATATAATTCCATTGAAAGCTACTTGTAGGGAGCCATAGGCTGGTGCAGAATTTTGACTGCTCACATAATTGCTGAGAATGCATGCAACTTACAGTTTCCTCCAGGTGTAATTTAATGCCAACCTTCTCCCAAATCACTATGTCTTGAAGTCACTGTGTGTCTTAAGTCTTGAAAACCACTTCCTATCTTCAGTTCTGTTAAGTTAAAGCATTCATTTAACATCCCCTGCTATCGAAAGTATCCAACAAAGGGAGCATAATAAGGTCTTTATGCCTGATCCATAAACTGGGAATTCCCTCTTTCCCAAAAAATTTGCCCGAGGCCAGATTGAAGCAGCATTCCTTTCTCTCAAGAAGTACAATATCTCCATACTGCTTGGAAGCAGAGTTTTTAAAGTTGCAAATGCCTCGTTCAAACCTTAATATGTCCCCTTTTTGGAGCTTTCTGTACAGCATTCTCTTCTTCAAAAATATAACCGCCTGATCTTCTGAGATTTGGTAGCATTACTAAAAATAAAAATAAAAATAAGGCAAGCTATTCACTTCTCTAATACTAGCATTATTTTAACAGGGATTCTAAGGCTTGGGAAAAGGGTGATGCATTTTGCAAGGTGAAAGTCTCATAGGTGTTATATGAGTCAAACTATTCTCCAAAGCACCTGAAGGCAGGACAAGAAGCAACAGACGGAAACTAATCAAGGAGAGAAGCAACCTAGAACTGGGGAGAAACTTCCTGACAGTTAGAACAATTAACCAGTGGAACAACCTGCCTCCAGAAGCAGTGAATGCTCCAACACTGGAAGTTTTTAAAAAGAGACTGGACAACCATTTGTCTGAAATGGTATAGGGTTTCCTGCCTGAGCAGGGGGTTGGACTAGATAACATCCAAGGTCCCTTCCAACTTTTGATGATGATGAGGATGATGAGGATGATGATGAAGATGATGAGGATGATGTCTGAAGGCATCCAGCTAGCCAAGATGCAACCGCACAGCATCCTCAAGTTGTGCTTTTGGTGCCATGGCATTAGCTGGTGTGTTGCTGGAGTAGGTCAATGTTTCCCCTCCTGCTATGCATGATGGGCTTGCTTGGTAAAAGCTACAACAAGGGCAGATTTTGTTATAAACCTCAGCCCTTTCCATGACCCCTAGTCATTAGTTGTACTGTGTCCAGATATGATAAAAGATAAGTGAATTAACCTGGTCACCCGTTTTGTGTACGAGAGACAAGACATTGCCTTGTGGCTATGTGGGATTGCTTCCTCCTTCCCATCTTCATTTCATGGAACTGCTTGCTTGTTGTGGATCCCCGTGGCTGCTATAGCAACAGATGTATTTCTAAGGAGGAGGGGAATGTAGAGGCCCCAAAATAAAGAAATCTAATTTTCCTAAGGCGCTTTGATTATGGATGAACACAGAGTCATGATGTGGACATCATGTTGCGTTCTTCTTTTTACTGCTTTCAGCTTGTGACCTGGCTTCCCAACCTCCTTCTCTATTGAATGCTCCCTTCTCCCAAAAAAACTTCACTGTTAGTTTGTTCAAACAGGACATTTGACAGGAACCTCAGCTACCAAATCCCAGATGGCAGAGCGCTTGTACTAACAGCTGCTGCTTCTCAAGGTTTTCACAACCCAGATGTGCTAACTCAGTGGCTTTGTGGCTTAGTCGTGAAATTTATTGTTATTATTTTAAAAAATTCAGAATAGATCTCTAAATTCAAACAAAGAATGTTTACTCCAAGGTTAACATCTCCCAATTTACTCTACTAATAGTTGGGGGAAGAGCAAAAAAGATGGGCAAAGAAATGTTAATGTGAAAAGAGGGATACCTTATGGTCATTTGAATGAAAAACAGGTAGTCCTCAACTTATGACCCCAATTGAGCCCAAAGTTTATGTTGCTAAGTGAGACAGTTGTTAAGTGAATTTTGCCCCGTTTTACAACTTTTCTTGCCACAGTTGTTAAGTGAAAGACTGCAGTTGTTAAGTAAATCTGGCTTCCCCATCAACTTTGCTTGTCAGAAGGTTGAAAAATGTGATCAGATGATCCTGGGACACGGCGACCGTCATAAATATGAGTCGGTTGCCAAGCGTCTGAATTTTGATCACATGACCATGGGGGGATGCTGCAATGGTCATGAGTGTGAAAAACAGTCATAAGTCACTTTTTCAGTGCTGCTGTAACTTCAAATCGTCACTAAACAAACTTGCAAATTGAGGACTACCTGTGTGTATCTTTTTAAAAGCTACAACTATAGCTTGGTGTCTGGATGTGCTTCTAGATAAGGTTACTCTCAGCTGTACCAACCCAGATGAAAAATACTGTGACTGTTTCACCTCCTTAATTCACTTTTGCAGGGGGGAAAAAAGAAGCTAGAAAAAGCAATGAGAAAACAGCATTTGGGTCAAGAGGAACCATTTAGCTTCCTCTTCAAAAAGCTAAAAGCATTTGATGAATTTCTGTGGAGAGATGATGTTTGATGTTACATCTATTTTTGCTCTCTTTTTTTGCCCCACCAGGTAACAATTTTAAATGGAAGTGACATTCGACCATTATACAACTTTTCTGGAGAACAGGTGAAGAGATTCATTTGTTACACTGAAGTGATTTGGGTCCAACTACTGAAAAAGCCCCTTAAATCAGAATAATTTGCTCTCCCTTATAAGATGATATGGTCTGCCCCTAGCAGACCATGGTGAACTGCTAACTGAGGCTTACAGTTAGTCCTTGACTTACGGTGGCAATTGGGATCAAAATTATTGTCTCTAAGTGATGCGGTTGAAAAATGCAACTGCATTGTTTAGCAACAACAATCTCTGCAGTCCCAGTTGTTGTTGTTCACAACATAGTCGTTAGGCAAGGCACCTTCCTGCCAGCTCCCCATGACAAAAGTCACTGGGGGATCCTGACAGGATGTTGCAAGTCCTAAGCCTGCAGGCAGATAAGTGGCTGCTGCCGGATAAGGGAGGGAACATGGCTGTGGGAGATGTATGGGGGAGAGTCTGGAGGGTGTTGGAGAGGTGCCGTAGGGGTAGGGAAGGGTGTGTGGGATGCACATGAGGTGCCATGTAAGTTAGGGGGATGCACAGGGATGTGTGGATCAAGAAGGGTATGTGGGATGGGGTATATGTAGAGAGGGTGTGTACAGGTGAGCAAATGGCTGGTATAATGGAAACACGGGCTGGGAAAGGGTGTACAGGTCAAGGAGACTTATCCCAGTGATTTGGAGTTCCTACTGGCTTTCCTTTGACTTTCTGGGGAAGCCAGCACGGAAGGCTGCAACTGGCATTCATATGATCATGGGGCACTTGGCTTTTGGTTGTCAGTGTGAATGGGTTGCCAAGCATCCCAGTTGTGATCATATGATGGTGGATATGCGGGACAGATGGGACTCCCAAGATTCAAAACCGCCATTCATTCAGTGCCATTGTAACCTTGAACGGTTGCTGAATGATTTGGTTAAGAGAGAAAGACACACAAATGAGGTGGAGCAGCCACATCTCTCCTTACCTTCTCCACTTCTTGAAGCTGATAGCAAAACTACCAAAAAAGTGCGTTTGGATGATGAATTCTGTTTTCTGAAAGTCTGAGCTTCCATTTCAATGTCACAAGTTTCTTGTTTCTTTATATTTATTAAGAATTGTACATGAAGTAAAAGACAAAACTAAAGAAAGGAAAAAAGAAAGGAAAAAGGTGCAAGAAAAGGAAAACAAAAAACAGAAGTTGTGGAATATAATGACTTCCAAGCTTCTCTTCAACAAATAATTACAATCTTATAGTCTTCCCTCCCTCTTAAATGTTATACGGATCCCTTCAGCCTTTCATTTAGTCCACAACTTTTTTTTAATCTTTAAACCTATAAATCATCATATCTTTTTTTCTTTTTTCAGTAAAAAGTCCATACAAGGTTTCTAGTCTTTCAGAAAAGTTTTTTTCTCTTCATTTCAGCAAATTCTGATATTTTCACAATCTGTTCCTCTGCTATGGGAATGTCATTGTTCTTCCATCATTGTCACAAGCTTTTAGCCCTTACGTCAGTGAAGATATATACTCAAAACACAGGGCCTGTTGTTATATCAGCAACTGGAATTGAGGCTGACCAACCTTTACAATAATTGGGAAATGCCTGTATAACCCCAACTTTTATGGTACAGTTCCAACTTTTATAGCATCTAGTATAAGATCATGAGAAATGAGCTTTTACACAAATTGTTTCATGATACAAATTTTGAAGTACTTTCTGCAGAGGATTTTAACCATTTTTTTGCCTTTATTTATTTATTTATTTTTATATTCCTGTTATTTATCGCTCAGATTTACTGTACCATCGGTTACTGATATTTCTTGACTATATTTCACTGTAAAACCTGAGGGGGCTACACTTCCCCAAGAGGGGGAAGGTACTTCCAGCTAAAATGAACTTGAATGTAATGCATATTAAGACAGCTGGTGAGTTTGAATAGTTGAAAGCTGAGTACAGCTGAGGAAACTTTGGCCTTCACAACTCCCATCATTGGTCGTTATTGGCCATATTGGCTGGAGCTGTTGGGAACTGCAGTCTGACATCACTTGGGAAGCCAGTGTCTTTATCTTTGTCCTATAAGGCCTGACAACCAGCCTCTTGGAGAATACTTTTTCCTGTTTTCCATTATGGAGGTGGGCAAATACTGCAGTAAGGACAGGTATGAGGAGGTTGTAGGAGTGTGTCAGGGAAACGGACATCTCCAATCTTCTGTGATCTCAAAATGTCTCTACTATGCTGACATTTCTTGATCCCTGTCACTTGTCTCAACAGATGGCTGCCTATTTTGGGTATGCTGTGGCTGTCATGGATATCAACAGTGATGGGTGAGTGTTGAGGAGGGGCTGCTTAGTCAACAGTAAGCTTGGGGTGGGGTGGAAGCAGCTCTTCCCAGCTCCTGAGGAAATTGGATATGATAATAGATTTAAGTTTGGGTGAGGTCTTGATGCACACCATACAGAAATTGTCTGGGAAGTGAAACGTCCATCTGCAGAGAAGATTGATGGAGGGGCATGATGGAGAAGAGGGTCTGGTGGCTGAGATGTTGGCTGAGAATTGTGGCAGAGCAACCATACTGAGAAAAGCTAATCTAGATCCCTTTTCCCTCCCTCTTTCGAGCAACTCTACAATGTTCTCTGGACTCCAGCCACCTGTGATTTATCTCCCAGAGCTTAAGAGTTGATTGTTTCATTTCTTTCCTTTCTCCCCTCTCTCCTGCCATGCAGACTGGATGACCTGTTGATCGGTGCCCCCTTGTTTATGGAAAAAACGGAAGATGGCCTTGTTCAGGAGGTGGGCAGGGTCTATATCTACCTGCAAAAGACATATGGCATGGAGCCCAGTGCATCAGCTGTACTGACCGGTCACCAAGAGTTTGGCCGCTTTGGCAGTGCTATAGCCTCATTGGGAGACCTCAACCAGGATGGCTACAATGGTATGAAAGTTGGATAGGAGGTGCATGGCATGGGGAAAGGAACAGAAGGTCTCCAGGTTTGAGTTTTGTCTCCTTGACTAAGATGAATTGTCAATGTATTATTTTCACACAGAGAAAAGGGAAGGGAATATCCAGCAGTTTATCTGCATTTCCATTACTAAAGTTCTGATTTGCTACTAAATGTTTTCCTTTCCTCGGGGGTTCATGGAACAGCTCATTAATTCTCACCTTTATCTTATTTTACAACCAAACAAGAAACGGATGCTAGAGCTATGTTCCAATTAAAGTGATATTTTCCAAAATTCTCATAACTGAGACGGAGGCATATTATTGGATATTTTCCAAACTCCTCATAATTGAGACTGAGGCACGTTATTTTGGTGTAGGATAGGAGATGGGAACGTAGGGATTTTCCATCATTCTTGACCATTGATCCTACTTCCAGTGGCTAATGGGCGTTGGAAACCCAACATTATCCAGAGAGTTACAGGTTCCTCTCTCCTGGTGTATGCCTTAAAAATGGAAGCACATTTCAGTCATATTCCCACTGAGCCAAAACGTATCTGCATGCTTTTGTTGTTCTGAATATGCCTTCCCCTTGGAAGGAGGCAGCTGAGAAACATTGTAGAGCTAATTTATCTGGAAACTTTGGTTTATTTGTCTGGAGGGTGACTAAATCCATTGCATTCAATGCAGAGACACAACAAAACTATCTAATCTCTGGCAGAGACATCTGGAGAAAGGCAGGCTTAGCTGCAAAGAGAGACAGCAAAGAACTTTCTCTGTGGACGTTTTCAAAAGGGACTGTCGCTTTATGTCTCACAGATAAAAATTCCCAGATGTTATTCTTTCCCTTTCCTGCCTAAAGGAATCTTAAATAGCAGGATATCCACCTGAAATTTTGCCAGTTGAAAGAGCCATTATGGGCTAGAGGGAGCAATGGTTTGACTTGGATGAAACCATCTATTTATGTTTTAGTGGGGAGGGAGCAGGGATAACACAGCGATAAGAGCACATGGTTTGCAGGTGAAAGGTCCTAAGTTAAATCCCTGGTATCTTGCTGGCCAAACTCTGAGTGTGTAGACTCAACGCCAGTCAGGAGATGTTGAGGGGGGGGGGGAAACTAGGCTTCTAGTTGGATTTTTTGGAAGCTTTAATTCCTTTCATTCATCTTAGTTAAACATTCTATTGCATCAGCAAAAAAAGGAAAAAATGTCAGCTTTCAAAGGAGGAACGTGGATAACCTTGATTGTTGGGTTGGTGAGAACATTTAGCAGAGTCCCTTTTCAAGCCAGCATCTTGTCAAATGGTACTTCCAGGAATTCTCTGTCCTTAGTTCCCCTGTTACAGGTATCTGAGTTCTAGGTGTGAAAAACTGGCACTTTGTAGAGCTCAGTCCTCCTCGGTTTCTTAATTTGGCCGCTTAATTTTTCCAAATCTCTGTTGAAAAATTCTGTTGAATCCATCTGAGGTACAATTGAGGATTGGACCGGACTTAGTCTTGGTGAGGTAAATTTAAAGGAGCACCGACAGGAATCATCTGAGTAGAAAGAGGGGACTGAAGACTAAGCGCCCTGCCCATAGTACAGATAGGTAGTCCTCAACTTACAACCGTTCGTTTAGCGACTGTTCGAAGTTACAACGGCACTGTTTTTCCACACTTAACAATCATTGTGGCATCCCCAGGGTCACATGACCAAAATCCAGATGCTTGGCAACTGACTCATATTCATGACGATTGCAGTGACCCTGGAGTCATGTGATCCCCTTCTGCGATCTTCTGACAAGCAAAGTCGGTGCCGAAGCCAGATTCTCTTAACAACCGTGCTACTAACTTAACTCTTAACTGTAGTGAGTTGCTTAACAAGTGTGGCAAGGAAAGTCGTAAAATAGGGCAAAACTCACTTAACAACTGTCTCGCTTAGCAACAGAATTTTTGGCTCAGTTGTGGTGGTCAGTCGAGGACTACCTGTATGCATAATCAAGATAACATGGATTCATTATCCTTTTAACAGCCCTGCTTCTCATAATGGCTGCCAGAGCATGGGGGGGGGGGGCTTTTCCTCCTCCTTCATGTTGGATGGGCAAAGCTGGAATCCTGATCCAGCTAAGCAGGCCTTTGGGGCAGCAGCTCTTTTTAATGAAATCCTCAGCCTGTCTCTGTGGCAGAAGAGGGAGTTGTGTGTGTTCCACTGCTGCCATCTACTGTTGGCTCTTTCTAATTCAGCTCCCATGGGATTTCTTTTTTTCTTTTCTAAACAAAAAAAAATCGAATGAAGGGGGGATCGATTAAGCAAAAGAAAATGCACAGTCTGCCTAGGCACTTTGGATGGCGGAACACCACAGTTGGCCAGATGGGGACAAGGGCCACCCATAGCCACTATGGGGTGTTCTTCAGAAGCCTTCTGCTTCTGTCACAGGAATGAAAGCAGCACAGCATGCATACAAAAGGGGAATGGGTTACATCCTGACAGTGTGGAGCTACTGTACTTTTCTGCCCTCCCCTCTTGTCTTCACCTTGTGGATGCTGCTGATTGCCACCCTGAGGCATGGCTGTCGGGAATTCTGGGAGTTGAAGTCCACAAATCATATAAGGGCCCCCTAGAGTGGCAATCAGCAGCATCCACAGGTTGAAGACAAAAGCCTTCTTGCAAAGTGGCCCTGATGGCTCCATGCCGGTCTCTCAGTTGGTGTGCTGCTCTGGCAGGCCACTCTACCGGCTCCCGTGCATTATTCTGAGAGAGTCCTTGGAGGGCTACAGTACACGATGGGGTAATTTTGGCATCAGCCTGTAGAGATAGTGGTATAGGGAGGCCCCAGGGCCAATTTGGACTGCATTGCTCTGCGGATTCTCTCAAAGTAGGTGGAGGGGTAAGAGGACTTCCCTTTTAAGACACACAAGAAAAAAAAAGTATATTGTTTCCTTCGGCTGCCTTAGCAGCAGATCCCCTTGGGCCTCTATCAATTAAACATGCAAATCTCCTCTCTGAGTCTGATGAAGCAATTAGTCTCATCTTGGCGCTCCTCTGACAAGATTCCCTGACACTTCTGGACCCAATCAGGGGAGAGGGTGGAAGTTGAGAAGTGTTTTATTTTGAGTAATTAATGAGGATCTGATCGCCTGAGTTCTGATCCTTCAGGCTACAGCCCAGTATCTATCTAAGGAAGATTAGTTCAAACGTAGGATGGAATGAACTCCTGTACCTGGCAATGCTCAATTGTGCCATTTTGGCCTCTTGAAAAATGTAAATAAGATTATGAAGTTCAGTTTTGCTCTGATTGGAATGTAAGCAGATGAGCAGTTCCAAATTGATTTGTCTACTGTCTACCTGTCAATCCAAGTCATGGTCTAGCTTCTAGACAGTCTTTCAAGAGATCATCTGGAAATCTCACTCCATGTCTACAACAGGATTTTATGTATATGTTGGCTAGCCTACCCTTCCATTTCCTTTTATCCAATATATTGCTCATCTTGTTTTTTTATTTCCTGCAATAACCCTACAAACAGTGCTGCTGACACAGGTGTTTGTTCCCACAGATGTGGCCATCGGAGTGCCATTTGGCAGACCGGGAAAACAAGGAATGGTCTATGTGTATAATGGCCAACAGAACGGGCTGGACTCCAAGCCGTCTCAAGTATTGCAAGGCTCCTGGTCACCTGGTCAAGTCCCAGACTTCTATGGATTTGCTTTGCGTGGGGCCAAAGACCTGGATGGAAACGGTTACCCAGGTGAGGATGACCTGTGAAAAAGTGACAGAAGCACATCTGAACTTGGCAGAATGCTTGTTTGGCAGGTCTGAGGGTGCAGATATGATGCTTATCATCTGGCAAACTCTTACAACATTCACTTCCAATGGAGCGCTAGATATATCTATCTGGGATAATTTAGCTGCTTTAATAAACCCATACTTCCATTGCAACTTGTAACAAAAAAAAGTGCAGTATGAAGTACTTCCATTCATTGTTTGGTAACCATATCTTCCTCTAACAAATTCCATTTCCCTTCTCATCTAGAGTTCTATTTTTTTCCCCCCTCCAGTTGTTGTATTGGTATGTTGGAATGAACAAGGGAGATGTTGGGGGGGGGGGGCTCCATAGGGAACAGTCATATAAGAGAGTCATAGATCATAGCAGCATAGGTTGGAGAAAGAGGATCAGGAGGGATAACCCCCTCCCCAAGTTCTCAGACTGTAAAAGAGATGGCAGGAGATTTCTATTTTCAGACTTTCAAGGTTGATGTCGGCCTTCCCAGGTATGCCAGACAGAAAATATCACCAAATGATTTAAATCTACTTTATTGTAAGGCTACATTAACAATTTTTTGCAAATCTGAAAAGTACAAATCTCCCGCCATCTCCTTTATAGTCTTTTTCTCCAACCATTATACAGCTGTGGGCTATGCCTTCTCTTATCTGGCCATTCCCCAGGCAGCATCTCTTCTCTCCCCCCCCCCCCCATTTCTCAAGGTCATTCCCACATATGGTTACAGTTGCTGAACATTTCGGAGTCATTGATCATGTTTAGTCCCTTTGGATTAATTTGGGAGGTGTTTTTTTTTCTGATGATTTCTTATACTTTTAAATATTTTCAGATGCCCTCACACCTACTGATGGGAAGTGCCCTTTCGGCAGTCATGCTGGAACATTGGAAATACATAATTGCATTCTTGTTAGGTCTTAAACGGATGGCTGATTGAATGCCCTGATTTAGTTTGCCACAGTTTAACTATTTAGCAGGAGTGAAGGCAGCATCTCTGTGATCTTTCAGAAGTTACAGAGAGGAAGAAGAAAGTCTTCAAAGGATGTTGTAAAATCCACTGCGCTTAACTCATTCCGTTCCAGATAGTCTCTTTCAAAGAACTTTTGTCAGCAATTTTCCAGAAGAAGTACTTGAAGCTAGCAATAAACAAAATGACTTAAGGCTTAAGCTGTCAAGAAATGATCACTCTTACACGTTCATGAGATCTTCTGATCTTAGATTCATACACCCATTTGCTACATAAAGGATGCAGAGAGGACTCAATTGGAATATTGGGGCAGCCCTATCTCCTGAAAGTTAGTTGTAATTGCTTTGAGGCCGTTTCCACAAATTTTGAACGTGTCTGCAGACGATATTCCCTCCAGACCAGTGGTTCTCAGACCTGTGGTCCACAGATCTCTGGGGGACCACAACGTCATCACAGGGACCTGAAGAAATGTTAGGATTTAAATCTTGGTCCGTGGCCATGCTCCATAGCCAGAAAAGATATTTAAAGGGGGTCTGTGGAGAAGAAAAGAATGAGAACCACTGCTCCAGACTGATGCAGTCATGCTCCAGTGATTGGGGAAGGGCCCTGAAGCAATTGCAGCAAGCTTTAAAAAAAAAAAATGCAAGTGCCTTGATGCTCCGAGCAATGCATTCCAATTCTCTGCAGGACCGTAATACAAAGGTCATTCTCTGTGCTAAGCATGCTGTTGTTTCAGCTTTATCTCAAAATAATCATCTAGCTAGCCCAGTAATGACATTTTGATGTGAAAGGCTACCAGGATTCCATTCAGCGTGCACTGTATGATTTTTTCCCCTCCCTAACCAACGAGAAATTACTAGGTTTCACGGTATGCTGTCTAGGCAAAGCAAAGTGTGCTTTTTCTCCTTTGCTTTAAAAATAGCTTCCTGAAATTGTGTCATGATTCGCAGTCACTATTTTCTGCCAAGTGCTCATCAGACCGTCTCTTTCTTTGTCCTGCAGATCTAATTGTGGGGGCCTTCGGAGTGGATAGAACCATGGTTTACAGGTAGGTAAAGTGTCTGGCGACAATGAAGACCAGTCTCCCCTAGCCCTGTGCTGTCTGAAGGATATAGGAGTTGAAATGCAATATATGTAATGCATAGTAAATTGAAGAAACTGATAAAGCAAATTTCCCCTGGAAAAAGTGATGAGATTATGACTCCATTGCAGGATCTCTGTCTCTCTCCCTCTCCCTCCCTCCCTCCCTCCCTCCCTGTCTCTGTCTCTCTCATTGCTTATTGTTTGTTTGAACACTCTGACATATCTTATTACTTGGCTGTAACCCCCATCTTCTGGAACTGCCAAGACAAGTCATGAATTAGGGTGACTCATAAATCACTGAAAACGTCCTCCTTCTCCATGTATACCAATCTTCTCTTGAACTCCGACCCTAACCAAGGGGTTACCGCCATCTTGGATAGCTGCCTCCAAGGCATTTGTCGACAGAGATTTCTGCTAACTTTCCTCAGCCAATGTGATTGCCTTGCCAAGCTTGATAATAACTTAAGTAAACTATCAATTTCCTAAGTCTTTCATTTCTCATTCCAAATAGAAAATTGCTTGCATTCTCTCCCTTTTCTTATGCTTCCTACCACAGAGGACGCCCCATTGTTCATGCCAGTGCCACTCTCAGCATCTTCCCTACTATGTTTAATCCTGAGGAACGGGCATGCACCCTGGAGGGAACTGGCACCCCTGTGGCATGGTGAGTGATCCTGGGAGTTACCTTTTCCCCTTGTCCCTTTGTGGCTCTCTGTTGTTAGAGCTCTTATATCAGTTCAGGAGCGTTTTCCCCTCAGTTCTCAGTAGTTAATGGAGGGCTTGTGTTTATAGAATATGTATGTGAACTGGTTCATTTTTATACCACGTTGAGCATATATAAGATGGTTTGGCTTATTTCAGTGATGGCGAACCTTTTAGAGACCAAGTGCTCAAACCGCAACCCAAAACCCACTTATGCATCGTCGGGTGCCGGGTGGGTGTGGCCCATTGGCTGGGTGTGGCCAATTGGGTGGGCGTGGCCCATTGGGCGGGCGTGGCTGCGGTGGTAACGGCAGACTGGATGGGACTAAAAAGTTCAATCAATCAATTCCAACTTTGCAAGATCTTTTTTTTCCCGCGAGAAGTTGAAATTGACTGATTGAACCTTTTTTTTTTTTTTTTGCACATGGTGGAGGCCTAAAGCGAACAGGTTTTATAAAACCCAGCTGAAGGCCTAGGACTGGGGCGATGGCGCGCGTGCCCACAGAGAGGGCTCTGAGTGCCGCCTCTGGCACCCGTGCCATAGATTCGCCACCACTGGCTTATTTGAACATATCTAAAAGAAAGCTATGTGCCCATTTTGACTACAGGTAATCCTCGACTTAACAATTCATTTAGTGACTGTTCAAAGTTACAACGGCACTGAAAAAAGTGACTTATGACCAGTTTTCACACTTATGACCGTTGTAGCATCCCCGTAGTCGTGTGATCAAAATTTAGACGCTTGGCAATTGACACATATTTATGACGGTTGCTGTGTCCTGAGGTCACGTGATCCCCTTTTGCAAACTCCTGACACGCAAAGTCAATGGGGAAGCCCGATTCGCTTAGCAACAGCTTGACTTACAGTGGTTCACTTAACCACCGAAGCAAGAAAAGTCGTAAAATGGGGCAAAACTCACTGAATAAAGGTTTCACTTAGCCACAGAGATTTTGGGCTCGGTTGTGGTCATAAGTCGAGGACTTACCTGCACACCGTGGGCTGATCTGTATGTTAGTGGATAAAATAGTGAGAACAGAAAGAGGTACAAATGGTTGTGACAGCTGTCGTTACCAACAGTTGCTATATTTACCTGTAGGCTCCTGACTATATAAGGTCTTATCTAGGCATTCTTGGCAGGAATTGATTCTGTAGTTTGGCCTTGCCACCCTGACCCTCTGCAGATGTTGGGGGAGACAATTTATAGAACCCAGAGCCTCAAATTCCAACTAAGAATTCTGGGAGTCCTGACTATCTCAGGGACATAACAATTAGGAACCCTGACTTAGTTACCTTGTCTATGTCCAGTCAGTCACTCTGTTCAAAGCTACCTAAAATCAGCAGCCATTTGGAATGAATCATCTTAAAGGTGGAGGGATGTATTCCAGAAGAGGCTAGACAGCTGTGTGCCTGGGATGTGTTAATTTGGATTCTTACACATAGTTGGGGGGGGTGATGGCTTTAGCATCCCCTTCCATGACTCCATGACTCTAAAAGAGGAGTAAGAAAGTGGTTGTTTAGTGTGATATTTTATGGCAAGAGTGGAATAAGTTACCGCAGGACACTTTCAATTTGTCACTTTCTGCTAAAATAACATGGAAACCACCCATGTGTCTTTTAGATTTGATCTAACTAAAGGATGCTAGTTTTCAGTCTGTGACAAGAGATAGTGAGGGGATTTATTTATAGACAAGAGTTTTTCCAAATGCTCAGCTCCATGGGGTCATCCTGACTGCTTGTTAAACATGTTCTTGAATTGGGCGATTGTCCAGTTCATGACCTGGCTGGGACCACATGGCTGGAAGGAGAGGCTGAGTCAGCCAGATAGGGTCCCACCCACCCCTGTTTATTCCAATCAGGTGTGATGACTTTATTTTTCTCCACTGTTACAACCAATAAAGGTCCCCTAGAATAACCCTTTTTCTATCCTTTCTTCTTGGGCGGAGTTGGGTTTCCATTTGGGTTGCAGTATTGGACCATCTACTCCTCCAGGCACATATCAACTTTACTTTTTGTTGTGACAAAATACTTTTCACTAAGGGATGTAGCCCCAACTATTCTTTTGAAATAGGCCCATATTTTCCAGCCTGAGCATTCCCACACATGCCTAGCTCTCTTGTCATCAGAGCGCATTGTCTCTCACAGATTTCTTATATTGGCTCATTGCTTCTTCTTTTTTTTTTCCATGTGTCAACAGCATCAACTTGAGTTTCTGTCTGAATGCATCTGGGAAGCATGTTCCTGATTCCATTGGTGAGTAACCGCAGGGCACAAAGGGGAAAGGATCTTGCTAGCTGTTGGGCCAATCTAGTTGTCTTCACATGTCCATATTATTGTCAATGCTGGAAGAAGACAGCTGTTTCAGAATCCATCAGAATGACTACTCATACTGTAGATCCAGGAGTTGGTTCAAGCTCCGTGGAGATCAAGATAAAGTCACTTTACTAGGTGTGCTTAGACTCTACAATCAGAAGCTGACAATGAGATCATGAAGTTGTTATGGAGATTAAAAAGACAGCCAAGGCGCTAGCAGTCTGGTAATCAGAAAATGATCAAATAGTAGACAGGTCTGGATAAAGCTAGAATAATCAAGGAAGAAACAAGGTGTTTTGCCTTTGCTGATGAGGAATGTTGTGAATTTTAGTTCAGCATTATAGCGAGAGCTAAAACCCCCCCCAACCTCTGAGGGTGATCTGGAAACATTTGCAACTGTTTTCAAGTCAGCTGGGGTGAGATGAAGATACTGGAAGGGGGGGGACTCCACTTCAGAATATTTTCATTCAGTAGAGAACTCTCCCTCCGATCCTAATTTATCATTGGAAAAGAATGAAAATAAAGGAATAGTCTCTGCCAAACCGGGATTGTGGAGTGCAGAACAGGAGCGACCAGAATGAAGAACAATTCTGTGATGCATCCCCAAACAAATTGGAAGGCTTTTACTGGAAGAATATTCAGCAATATCTGATGGGGTTTAGAGTTTTGTATGTTCTTGAAGAAATCTTAAAATCATCATGGGAAGAGATGGTTTCCTTTATTTTCTTTCCTCACGTCATCCAAATGATAGTGTGAGTATGAAGCTAATAATAAGGATTTTTAAACCTCAGTTTTTACAAGAATCCCTAAATATTGGGTTTTAGGTTGTATTTTAATAATGTGCAGTAATATTAGAACATGGAACATAGAACAAGAGAGTTGGAAGGGGCCTTGGAGATCTTCTAGTACAACTCCCTGCTCGAGGAAGAGATGATATATCATTTCAGACAAATGGCTGTCCAATCCCTTATTGAAAACTTTCAGTGATGGAGTACACACATTTGGAGGCAAGCCATTTCACTGATTAATTAATCTCACTGTCAGGAAATTTCTCCTTAATTCGAGATTAGCTCTCTCTTTAATAAACTTCAACCATTACTCCTTGTCGTGCCCTCAGACACGATAAAGACTGACTCCTTCTTCTCTGTAACAGCCCTTCAAGTATTGGAAGACTTCTATCATATCACCCCTAGTCCGTCTCTTCATTAGACATGCCTGCTTCCCGCAATCATTCATCGTATGGTTGAGCTTCCAAACCCCTTATCATTTTTGTTGCTCTTCTCTGTGCTCTATTCCAAGCGTGGTCTTACCTGCACGGTATAAAGCACACATTGTTTACATGTTTTCTTTTCAAGATGAAGGTTCTGCAGTTAAACACTGTGCACCACCTTGGATGCCTGCATGCTTAATGGCTCAACTGGTGCATGGGAAAGTTGCATTGTTTTTAAAGGAAGTTTTTGAGCTGATATCAGCTTGAGATGGTTCATAATCCAGAGGGACTTGCAGAAACAGACCCTTCTGCAATCCCTTTTGTATGATAGGCCACCAAACTTTTATGTCACAGGGTTGAGCAGACATCAGGCTTATGGGATTTGTTTTTTCTTTCTGATACACCCTTGAGCTTCATCGACTATAGTCAAGCACGGAAGACAATATCTCACTTGGTTCTGCTTTCTCTCTTATTGGGCAGGGTTCGCTGTGGAGCTGCATCTCGACCGCCTCAAACACAAAGGAGCAATAAAGCGGGCCCTCTTCCTGAGTTCCCAGCAATCCCACCTCATTCAGAGCCTCCAGGTCCGCAATGGAGCCAGTTCAGAGTGCCGTGAGATGAAGATTTACCTGAGGGTGAGTTGAGTCTACCTCTGTGGATCCTGCCTTTCCCTCGTCTTGTAAATTGTCTTCTCCAGAATGAGAAACATCCCGTGACCGCGCTGTTGATGCTCATTTTTGCCTTGCTGTCCCAAATAGAACTATGTGTTGTGATGGATGGGAAGCGTTTAGAAAATGACCCTTGCTTTGTGCCCCAGTGAGACAGTGGATTTGCTTCAGGAGGGGGCCTTCAACAGATCTTTCTACCTTGCCCACTAGTGGAGCTACTAGGAAAACACCCTGACTTATAGAGCTGTGCACCTAAGTCGTTGAATCTCTGTTAAAGACCCCAAACAGAATAATATATAGGGAAGAACATCAAATTAAGCCTGGGAAAGCTTGGGTTCCATCTCGGTCCCCAGCCACCTCATCCCGCCTCACCCAAACTACCTCCATTAGGATAAAATTTGAGGCCGCAAAAGGAAAATCTTGTAGAACAACCATGAGCAGCTTTCGAGAGAAACAGTGGAATAAAGATGTAACCAGTTCTGTTTATCACAGATATTCTGACATAATTTGTGGATATTTTAAAGAGAGACCACAAGAAGAGCCTCAAGGACTTGCAGTTCTCAACTACAGAACAACCATTGAGAGCTAGGAGGGTAGGAATATTGTAACTCTAATGCAGCCGGGATGTTGTCGGTTATAAATCTCTGGTTTGCAGAGGAGCCAAGAGAGAACAAACAAGCCCATGTTACAGCATGCGTTTCTTCTTCTTCATGGCTTATTCCCCACCTTGCTTAAGGTCTTCCTCTGTCTCTCCAGAATGAGTCAGAATTCCGGGACAAGCTCTCCCCCATCCACCTGTCACTGAACTTCTCGCTGGATCCGGAGGCGCCACCCGATGCACATGGCCTACAGCCCATCCTTAACTACCACACACGCCACCACATTGAACAGAAGGTATGACCCCACGTAGCCTTTGAAGGTCTCAAAGAAGGCTGTGCCTGGCAGAACAGTGGAATCTGTGAGTGTTGCTTGCAAATGAATGGGATACCAGTGACTTAGAAGGAACTTCCCTTGCTCCTGGTAAAACTTTAGTCATCAGCCAGGGGAAGAAAAGACTATGTGGAGGTCAATAGGTAAATGAAACAAATTCTGTGATTCCTTTTTTCCCCACCCAGCTTAACTTAAGATTGGACATTTTTCAATACCGAAAGGGCTTCGGTGGGGAGGGGGGGTGTCCTGTTTTCTCTAATGCTGGAGAGGCCATTGTATGTCCTGGAAGCTATGCAGCAATTTATGAAAAGGAAATAATATTTTATGATGGCTGGGCTTCATCTGGTTTTGCGCCTTCCCCATAATGTATGATTCAGTTGGCTTATTCTTGTAACCAGAGACCATAATCTGAGGACAAATGTTTCTGTGCAAGTGCTTGATGTATTCTAGGCATGATTTTGGAGGATGGAGCAGCTGCTTAAATGGACTAGAGATGAACAAGCCAGTTTTCAGTCCCTGTATATTTTTTCCCATGGTGCTACCACTCTGGGATTCTTAGAATAGTTCATGGAAACAAAGACATCATTCAGTATAGTACTTTTAACACATGTCAACATGTAGTGTTTCATCTGACTCATAGCTGGAATTCTTTCCCAGGCCCAAATTCAGCTGGACTGTGGAGAGGACAATGTCTGTGTCCCTGACCTGCAACTTGATGTCTTTGGGTAAGTCTTTGCCATGTCATGTCCTGCCGGGCCACAAACAAGGATGAAGGTGGACAACGGCATACTACTTGTATTTCCTTGATATCAAGAAATCCAAATAGACTCCTCTTTCCTAAATCTAATATATTTTGCATTTTGAGCACAGGTCTGACTTTGGAGGAGTCAAGCAATGGAAATGGTCCATGTCCCATTCAGTAATGCTGTTTTCCAATATCTGTTCATTTGCAATTCAGCTCTAGCTTTTTAGTAGGAGTGTATTTAACATCTTCCAGAATACCTCTGGAATGATCAGAGCAGTATTGGAAATCCCTTCTGGTAAGCCCAGAACAGCCCATCGTAAGCTTGAAATGCAACTTGCATGCACAACTTAATGTGCTTTTAGTACTGGGGACCTGTGGCTCAGTATTGTCCCTTTCTTAAACATTGACAATTTGGTATCCCTTCCTGCCATGATATGAAAATACAGGCGTGCAAGATTTCCATCTGGAAAATGTAGCCTTGCCATTCCTTCTGTGTGCAATCATTTTTACTCTTTTGTTATCAGCTGATCCATTCATGGGCTCTTTTAAACGTTTCTCATCTTTTGTGGCTCGTAACACAAACGGACATACACATCAACTTTTATACACATTGAGGGATCGAATCCCTTTTTTTACACTGTCACCTAGCATATTGTTACCAACACAAATAAATATGAAGTGAATGTGCTCTGTGAATCAATAGTATGAAAAAGAAAGACGTTAAATCTTTGCTCAGGGAAGGCTACGTGCCCAACAGACACTTTCTATCTGAATCTCTACACTAGTCAAAAGAGGAAATATGCAGTTGCAGAATACAGGCTCTGCGTGCCAAAAAGTCTCATTTTAATGCTTGGCTAAGAAAGAAATGTCAGAAAGCTTTTGCTGGTCAACGTGGACAAGAATGAGCTAAATCATAGCTGTGCTATCTGACCCCTTCTTGAGTGCAGCCCTAGAGTTATCTAAAAACAATTGTTGTGTTATAATTTTAGTATTAGCAAGAGTCAATGCATTAATTGTATTTAATTTTAATTAAATGTACTGGGAAAGGAAAGGAAATTGCTCTGCTTCTAGTCCAACCACAGCAGGCAGGGACCAGATTGTGAACATTCGTGTAGGGCAGACATGTCAAACACAAGGCCCGGGGGCCAGATGCGGCCCGCAAAGTGGTTTCATGTGGCCCGCGAAGCCATCCTGGAAATAGTGAGGGAACGGGAGCCAATGTACAATTTTGTGGTGGCCATCTTGGCACTTGCCCCAGTGGACCATGCCTTGGCACTTGCCCCGGTCCCACCCCCTTCTGCCAGAGACCCTCAGATCTGTCCCACTCCTGCCCAGGCCCCCACAGGCCCCCTTGACGCGAATGATGTAGAACTGGCCACGCCCACTCCATCCACGCCCACCCAGTAGGCTGCACCCACTCTGGCCACACCCACCCAGCCCCCCAAGGGCAACCGCAATGCTGATGCGGCCCTCAATGAAATTGAGTTTGACACTCCTGGTGTAGGGAGTTGACAAGAGAAATACAGTTTAGCACATTCTAAATGCCAGTGTAGCTCTGTTTGCAATATGCCAGTGCTCGTTGTGGTCTTTTCCCATCGGGTTTTATGCCGTGTAATAACTGTTAGCACAGAACAAAAGAGCAATCCTTTTTCTGTACTGCAGGATCTTTATCTGACATGGACAACAAGCACAGTGGTTTGATTAACGGGTGTAAAACCTAGGAAGGAGCCAAAGTTTTATGTGCTTGAGAAGAACTAACATTTTCATATGTTACACGGTGTGTGTGTGTGTGTGTGTGTGTGTGTGTGTGTGTGTGTGTGTGTGTGTAATACCTTAAACTCTCCAGGCTTCGTTGGCTCCTTGGTTATATAAAACAACTACCTACCAAGGTGGTGGAGAATGGTCTGAAGTTCAGACCGATTTAAATTGTATGCCTGGAAATTTAGAAGACTAAATGAAAGAGACATAAAAGGGCTGCTTTCTCTGAATTCTCTGGATGGTGCCTGAATAATTAGCTTTGCAGCCTTCGATCTGTGCTCTCGCGGTTTTGGGATTTCATTGTGTTTTGAGGCATGCTCTCATTCATTTTGGATTTCACCCTTTGCAGGGACCACACTGTTGCCTATCTGGGAGACAAGAATACAGTGAACCTTTCGTTCCGTGCGGCGAATCGTGGAGAAGGTGGTGCCTATGAAGCTGAACTCCATGTGACAATCCCACCCGAGGCAGACTATACAGGAGTTCAACGCAACTATGGGGTAGGTGCTCCGTAACAAACCTTCTCCCTCAAATGACGTCACATCCATTAATTGTAAAAACAGAGCACAAGTACAGTATGGGGACTGCTCTCCAAAGTCAGAAGCCCCGGGACGCATCTTCTCTTCTCTGAGCAAAGTGTAAAAGATTGTGAATTGCGGGGGTAGGTTGTGAATTCCAGCATGTCAATATTTCTGATTTCTAAAGGAGCAAAAATAAAACAGGTTTTTTTTTGACATTTCAAAAAAGAACACATTCAATTAATTCTTGGAAGCTTATGCCATAATAAATATGCTAGCCGAAAGTACCACGTGACTCATTATTTTAAAAAAACAATTAAGCCTTCATAAAGCGACACTATCTCAGTTGCCAATCAGTGCAGTCCTCAACTTTCAACCACAATTGAGACCAGAATTTCTGTTGCTAAGTGAGAGAGTTAAAGTGAATTTTGCCCCGTTTTACAACCTTTCTTGCCACGGTTGTTGGGACGCAGCGAACGGTCATAAATACGAACCGGTTGCCAAGCATCCGAATTTTGAACAAGTGACCAATGGTCATAAGTGTGAAAAACGATCATAAGTCACTTTTTTCAGGGATGTTGTAACTTCGAATAGTCACTAAATGATTGTTGTTGAGTCAAGGGCTTACCTGTATTGAGCAGATGTTCATGCTCCTCGCCCACCATCCCAGAAGATTCTGGGAATGACAAGAATGAAAAGGCTACGGCAGTTACCCTGCTCTTTATTCTATTTTTAAAAAATGCATTTTTGGCTGGCATTTTTGATCAAAGCCCCCCTTTTAAAAAAAAATCTTTTAAAATTGAAGAATCAACGAAACATATGGGTGGTAAACACCATCTTAGGAAATCCTTTTTAGGGATGAAGTTGTGCAAAAATGTAGAAACCTAATGGTTAAGTACATAAAAACATTCTCCTCTTTTATGTAGCAGAAAGGAATGCTTTCACTAAGCCGAGGGCTACTTGTTTCATATATACGTGATTCTAAATATTTCAACAGAACCGTTTTTACTCCCGGACAGACTATAGCAGATGAAATGGATTGATGCTCACATGAAAAGCTTGTTGAGGTTTCTATCTTAACAGTGGGAATTCTCACAAGTAGGACAAGAGAATGGCAGCAGCTCAGGCCTCTTTGCTCTCTAGCCATTGGTATCCCAAGCGTATTACCTTTAACTTGGATGACGACATGCGACTAGTATCCTCCATGGATTTGTCTAAATGCTCTTTTTTCTTTGTCTTTCCTTTAGAACATTTCCAGCCAGAGCTGCCACTATGATACCATGAATGACACAAATATGGTTATCTGTGACCTTGGCAATCCAATGAAAGCAGGTGTCAGCGTGAGTGTTGGTGCTGTGTACTAAGGCAGTGGTCCCCAAAACCTTTTTCGCACCAGGGACCAGTTTCGTGGAAGACAGTTTTCCCACAGACTGGCGAGGAGGAGGAGGAGCATATAACCTAGATCCCTCACATGAGCAGTTTATAGTAGGGTTCACCCTCCTATAAGAATCCAATGCCTGATGGTCTGAGACGGAGCTGAGATGGTGATGCTAGCATTGGGGAGTGGCTGCAAATACAGATGAACCTTCGTTCGCTTGCCCACCGCTCACCTCCAGCTGTGCGGCCCGGTTCCTAACATGCCATGGACCGGTAGCATTCCATGGCCCAGCGGTTGGGGACCCCTGTATTAAGGTATTGGCTTCGGTCAATCAACATGCAACTATTACAGCCAAAACAGCCCACTTTGTTACATAGCTGGGTAATGAAACGACTGCAAGGAAACAACCAAGATCGTAGTAAACCAAGAACCTAACCTGCACAATCCCTGATAGAAGAGATCTGAATAAAGAACTTGATTCTAATGCCTCCTTTTTTTTCCTTATCCTTTTTAGCTCTGGGGAGGCTTGCGTTTTACTGTGCCCCGTGTCACCGATGCTAAACCATCCATCCAGTTTGATTTCCAGATTCACAGGTAAAAACACCCTAGATAACCTGCCAGTGCCTCACCCACACACACACACACACACACACACTCCCTTCACCTTGAGCTCAGGTCCGGCTGTCCTCGATGTCCTGGGCTCTTTCTTTCCTGCACCCTTCACTAGTTCCACATCGCCATGTCTGTTTTTCGCAGCAAGAACGCCAACAATTCTCACAGCGAAGTGGAATCATTTGTCCTGCACGTCGAGGCTGCCTTTCACCTTTCATCCCATGGGTAAGTATCACACCAGGAGTAATTATTTTTAATTATTAAAAGAATGTCCGAGACCTGTTGTTGCCTGCAAGGCATGCAAATGCTGAAGGTTAATCATAAATGGGTGAGGGCAAATCACACCTTATTTAATAGCAAAGGAACGGTGCCATGCATTTTGGCAAACCATTTTAGCCCTGAAGGCTGCATCAGGTGCCAGGCCAGGAACCCACTTGCCACTTCATCCCCTCATTAGGTGATCCTCCTCTCTCCCGACAATTTTCAATAAGCATCTTCCTACTTCCCTCACGCCAAGAATATTCCTGTTTTCTTACTGTGCGCTCTGCCACATGCATCGGTAGGGGATGACCAGTTAAACAGTGGGGGGGAAAATAAAGAAAAAATATAGCCAAAATAGCACGAAAGAGAAAGAGAGACTCTACCAAAAAGTTGGGATTATTGATTCAATAATTAAAAGGAGTTTAATGAAGTTGGTCTAATTTTCTCCCAATCAATTTACAGTTTTCAATTCATTAGCAACAGCAATATTGCATGTATTGGTGTATACAGTATTAGAGAAGTTACATTGTTTTCTTAAAAAGTTCGCCTGACGAGAAATGGTGTCTTTTGGATCTTCACTACATTTGTCAAAGATCTTGTCCATTCTCCCTTAAATGAAGACCTGGTTTGCTTTTAGAAGATAACACTCTAACCACTCCCTGCTGAATTTATTGCTTAGATTCAAACATATGCATATTTGACTCTGCTTCGTGCAACCAAGTATTCCACATTTGTTTTGGATAGATCCGTGTTGGAAACAGTGTTGATATCCAACACAGGACATGAAGTTTAGTTGACTGTGGACAACTGGTAAATCAGAAGGAAAGACAAAGAACTTGCATTGTTTTAAAATGCTATAGAACCTTTCAACTAGACAGTCCTCTTAGCCATGGATGTGTGGCCCTCACATCAATTTTTTTGATCTGTGCTGATTGTATGAGTTCAGTCTAGAACAGGGGTGGTCAGCCATGGCTCTTTTATGACTCGTGGACTTCAACTGCCAGAATTCCTGAGCCAGCAAATAAAAGAGCCAAGGTTGACTACCCCTGGTCTAGAACTTGCGCCCACTTTCTTATTTGACACCAGTGGAATGCTTATTTGACACCAGCTGCCTTGATGTTTTCTTATGGAAACATAAGTATCTCTGGAAATGCTCTCCAATGTGGTAGCAGCTGATATTTACCCCGAGGGAGCTGTTTTTTCTTCTGAAACCTTTAATGTAGTCATCCAGGGTTATCTCCTTCAGGAAAAACAAACAAGTAATTGAACTAGACATTTTACCTAAAGCTCAGCTGGCTTATATTCAAAGAATATGCACCTGGAGAAACAATATAATTTTCCACGTGATTCTATGTCCCATTTTGGAGTGCATGAATCAGCTTTTAATTCAAGTACTTTGAGAAAAACGGTCCGTTTGATTGCCGTGATTAGCAAATGTTCTTGATTAGTTGGCATTCTCTTGAACAAAAACTGTAGGGTCTGTTGTTCAAGTCAAAACTTGAAACCATTGGTCAGAAGTTTAGAAAAGCTTTCTTTTTTCCAGTAGTCCTCGTGAATCCAATAGTACAACTTCTATATCCCCCAGTTGCCTAAGAAAATGCCTGTTTCTTAATTAGCAATTGCACCACCTCTAGGCAGGCTAGTAGCTTTTGCAGAAGTAGCTTAGAATAACATCTCCTCTAATTATAGCAATTTAAACGAATGCTGCTTAGTCATGGAAGACATGTGCAGGTTCATGTTTCAAGAAATGTATAAACCAGGAATGAGGAAACTATAGCCTATGGCCCTAAGGAATCTATTTCTCATTTATTTATTTATTTATGTTATTAGACCTGTTTCCCTCCATCTCGCCTAGAGGCAACGCTGGGATTTTAGGAAAATCCTGTCTCCTCCTTTCTAAATCCTGCCTCTGACAGTCAAGACTATTGCACGTGTCTTTCTACTCTTCTCACCAAAAAAGATTTTTCCCCCACAGGCTTCAGGTGGGGAGATCTTCTGGCATTTGATCTCCAAGACCTGCTGGTAAACTTCCCCAAGGGTTAAATTTTTGAGGTTCTTCATACAGAGCTTACATTATCTCCACAACTAATTGCTCGCCTTCCCTCTTGACCTAGGTTTCCCAGACATTTTCTGTTAAAATTATAAAGCTGTTTTGAGGGAATGCCTCCTAATTTACCAAGTGGTAGAACATTAATGAAAAAAATATCATTTCAGTGGGTTATAATCTGAGGTAGTTTGAGTGTATGCAAACTTATTCTATTCTTGATTGAAGGATGGTTGATTCCACAGAGAAGATGGAAGAGACCAAAATGTTGAGTAGAGCAGGTCATTTGAAGGCCATGGTCTTAAGACCTATATTTCAGCAATTACATCCAAGAGTAGAATAGAAGACATTAAGTAATCTAATATATACCATCTTGAGTTTTAACATGGGCTAAAGGAAGATCATAAATGCACATGTGTATAGTAAGTGTGTATGTGTGTGTCTATGAGGTTTTACATAACAGTTCATATTTCATTATATCTATGCCTATAAGCAATGTTCAGTCTTCAGTTCCCTCAGTAATTGAAGACATAAATTTGTCTTTTCAGTGTTAAAGAACTAGTCTCTTAGCAGTAAGAAGGAAGTAGAAAAACTATTTGCATAGTTCAGCTGTCAATTACCATGTAATATGTATGTGGTTCAAAGGAATATGAGCATCTAAAAATATTAAACTTCATTTCAAAGTCAATTTGTGTAATTTTTTTCCCAGATCATAACCTTAAGAAATAGCAAAAATATATTTTAGTGAATCATTTATTTTTGTTGCATTTTTATTGTTTTATTCCTTATCTCCTCATTCTGTTTTACTAGATAAATAAAACACACCTAAAAATAATAATTATCATTGCATTGCTTAATTGTGGATTAAATCCACAGCCTTGGGCCTATTCTAGAAAAATGGGATAAAAATATCAAATAATTCAGATCATACTGTTGCCAAACATTAGTTTTATAATTTGATTCTCAGTGGGGGAAAAAAATACATTAGCAGAAGTTCAGTTTTGAATTTTAGCCAGAGGGACACACACACATGTTCTGATTTTCATGCTTACACATCCCAGTAAAGGTCATTGGTACATTAGCAGACATCACAATGATTGTCATGTGACATTATGACTTGATTACTGTCATTTTGATTTTGCTTTAATTTTGCCTCACATCCTTATTTAAATTGCTCTAGTACCTAGTGATTAATTTGTGCATGTCTGAAATGCTTTTATTCTGCCTCTTCCACAGAGCATCCATGCCAGACACTGTATCTCTACCTGTGTCTGGTTGGGTCCCAGGTAGATCAATGCAGCGTGAACAAGATGTCGGTCCTGGGGTCTGCCACGTCTATGAGGTGGGTGTTTCTTGCTGAGCAGAAGAAGTTGATGGAATAACTGGAACTGGTCAATGGGCCAGATATCCTGGGGGAGCATATCTTTTCTGGATCCAATTCAGCTCCTGAAATGTCCTTCTGAACCAGTCTTTTCCAACATGGTAGCCTCCAAATGTTTTCAGCCTCAGCTCCCAAAATTCTTAAGGAACGTGACTGTAAGTGATAACTGGTTAGGAATAATGGGAGTTTCAAACCTATACATCTGAAAGAGACTAACAATAAGGAAGAAGATCTAGATTAACAAAAGCCCAATAAAAGCTCAACATTCTCAACAATATACCTTCACAGGTGGAGGAAACATCTGTATAAGTTAATTTTTCATATCAGGGATTGTTCCAGAAATAATGTTTGGCTAGCAATGGAAACATGGCTTATTTACTGACTATTGTTATGGCACTATCCTTTATTTGGTTGCTGATAAATATATCTTTATGAAATGGCTGCAGCTTGTCTCATGGGAGGTCTTGTAGCTTGTTCTGCATTATAGAAAGTCCCAACTTTACTCTGGTTTGCAAGGTCATTTAGCAAGTAATATGCTTCTCTGCATCTCAACCTTGAAGGACAAAGTAATAATAATAATAGTAATAATAATAATGATGATGATGATGATGATGTAGATGTTGGAAGGGACCTTGGAGGTCATCTAGTACAACCCCCTGCTCAGGCAGGAAACCCTATGCCATTTCAGACAAATGTCCAATCTTTTCTTAAAAACTTCCAGTGTTGGAGCTTCTGGAGGCAGGTTTTTCCACTGGTTAATTGTTCTAAATGGGCAGCCTTATCTAGGATGAAGCAGTTTCTTGATTCCTTGGACAATTTCCTCCATATTTTTATTTTCTTTTATGTAGTTTGTCAACGAGGGGCCCAGCGCCATCAGTGAAGGAGTGTTAGACATCAGCTGTCCTCTCCGAGTGCAAGGACGAGCTATACTGTATGTGACAAGCTACACAGTGCCGGCAAATTGTACCTCCAGCAGTCCCATTAATCCATCACATCTGCAGGTAAAAGGTGACCTCTGTGGCTGGGGAATACAAAGGAGGGAACTGAAGGAACATTTAGCCTGGCCGCTAGATTTTGAGACTGGAGTTCAGCCACTAAAACCTAATAGCTGCAGCTGAGATTGCTTAGAAACTCAAAATCAACATGAAGGGGGGAGTAATAAATTGCAGAAGACAGCTAATTTCCCAGTTTGGGCTATAAGTTCTTTGGTTGCTTTAATAACTTGCCCTTTTTTCTCAGCAATGGAAATGTGTGTGCGTTGTTCCGTCCCAAATCTTCCATCCCTTTGGTAAGCTGCTTAGGGGGTTTTTTTGCCTGCAGGTTATCTTCATAAACATTTCAACAAATAGCTTGTTTCCACAAGACATTTGCCTTTGCTCTGTGTAGAACATGAACAAGACTGAAACTGAGTTGTAACAATGCGGGAGGATTGTCTGCCATTGGGAAGCATGTGTCGCACAAGAGCACTGTTCCTTGGAGTCAGCCAGAGCAACATTGGCATTCAGAAGGAGGGACTTTTTTGACTGGCAGCTGTATATTAAGATACCTTGCAAAGCCATGGGGAAAACTGTATTAACCTAACCTCTCTCTCTCTCTCTCTCTCTCTCTCTCTCCCTCCCTCCCTCCCCCTCTCTCTCCCCCCCACTCTCTCCCTCTCTCAATCTCTCTGGGTGTTTAGCTGGAGCAACCTCCAACACCTTTTCCTGGACAGGAGCAGCACTATGTGCAGAAGCAAGATGGAGGCACTTTCCCTCTGGTAAGCCCTGCGCCACCATTTTAAGAAACATCTTAAAAACACAACAGGTGGGCTCCCTACTCTTGATTTCCTTAGGATATCTTAGGACCAGCCTAAGAGCTGCACTAATCATTTTGTCAAGGTTCAGATCCATAAGACCAAATAAATCAGACGTTCGAGGCAGGAAAGTCCCTCAAAGAACATGATTATTGAATACATAATATTGGCGCGTTCAAAAGTGAAACCAGATCTAAACTTCTCCCTCCAAGAATCAAAATAATACAGTGTAACAATTCCCACCGCTCTATTCATGCTGCCCAGTAGAACACCTTGGCGGGCTTTCTGACTTTGCGATCCTCCTCCTCCCCTCTGGCATGGGAATGACCTTGGTTCCCGCAAGAATTGCTCATATTTAGACTACCAGAAATACCATCTCCCCCCTCCCCCTTCTTGTGGCAACCTAGAACGAAAAAAGATGGCTTCAGCCAGGTTCGTTGTAGAGTTGACAGATTTCCTTACATCACAGTGTTGGCTCATTGTTTTTGTTACCATTGTGGGCCGCCCAGAGTCCATGGGAATTGGGTGGCCAATACATTTAAATAAACAAATAAATAAACAAACAAATGCATGAGGAAGATGGTTTTCAAAGAGCAGCACCAGTATTACATGCATTTCAATAGCTTATTTTCAAACCTAATTATCCTTCTTTGCCGTAGCTCTTCAAAATAAAGATGCATCCATAACACACAGGAACTTCGGTCTAATCTCCCAATTCACATTCCCTTGATTTTAATCACTGGAACAGCCTTCCCCCATTCTGTTGTCCTCAAGATCTTAGACTGTAGTTCTTATTTGTTGCATTGTCTGGGCATTCTGAGTTATAACCCAACCAGCAAGAGAATACTTAGGTCAAGTAAGGGCAGACATTCAGGTTCACAAAGATGTTTGGCCCAAATTCCTTCTTGGGGGGGGTAACTCAAGGCTGATGAGATATTTTCATCGGATGTCTCATTTGATCATTCAATGTTCTTGCACTGCAGAAGTGTGATGAAGATGAATGTTTCCAACTACACTGCCGCACGGGAGCGTTGCAACGGCAAGAAAGTGTCAGCTTACGCCTCTGTTTTCGTATCTGGTCCAAAAGCTTTCAACAGGTAAACTCATTATATTTTTGGTGTTCACCAGGCCCCAATTGTGTGTGTGTGTGTGTGTTTGTTTCTTTGATTGTTTGTATGTAACAAATTGTGTGTTACCAGTTTTTTTCCCCCATCTTCCTTATTCTGTTCTAGGTTGTAGCAGTAGCTGGCACAGAAAGGAATGAAAGTTGAGGGAATAGGATAAATCAGGCTAAAATTGCCCACCTCTGATCTATGTACATACAGTACATATAGAAAAAGGTGTAATAATTAATCCCAGCAGAAAAATAATGACCTACTCCTTCCCATTCATTTAGTATAGATGTTAGCTGAAGTATTAAGCCTTTGGGATGGGATGTTTGATTCCTCCATGTTAAGGTGGTTTCACCTCCAGTGAATCTGTTCAACCCAACATTTGTGTAGAGCCATTTCTCATTATTCTTTCCTCCCTTGCAGAAAGAGAACTATCCCCAGGCTATCCAGTGTGAAGCCGTCTATCATATGCAAAAGGTGCCCTACAAAATTCAGCCTCTAGAGCACTCCACCACTCATCTGAAGGTCAGTATTATCAGTTATAATAGGAATATTCTGCCCTTATGAATACCAGTTCTTCCAAGACGATTATTCCAATTACATTAGTAAAATTACAAGGCACTTTTCCACAACAGAGAGAAAGAGAGAGCGCGATTGGGATCAGCTCAACTCAGAGAAGTAGGTAGCGAATGGGTGGGGTCAGTCCAGCTTGGATATATTCTTGAAAAGTGGATAAATGAAAATTATGGTAAGAGGGCAAAAAGTGGAACAGAATAGGTTATTCTCCCTCTCAGAATTCTGGAATTCAGGTACTAGATTGCCTAATGAGGCTGAATGGTTTGAAACCTAGGAGAACTAAAAAAGGGGGCATCCTCTTTCCAGTGGCCTATTTTGAAATGGATGAAAATGACATACTTGGCAACCTGGTGGATTTAGGATGTTTATTCTTATTTATGTATTTATTAGAGCAACACGGTGGCCTAGAAGTGAAGGTGCTCACCTCCCATTTGGAAGGTTTAGAGTTCTAGGTAGTGGCAGATGTTTCTCTCCTAGAGCACAAAGAAAAAATATCTGCTGCGAACTCTACATGGCATCAGGAAGGGCATCTGGCCAGCTCCATCCAGTTGCCCCAACTCCACCCCAAGTAAGGGATTACAGAGTTGTGAACAGGAGTTTATTCTTATTTATTTGCAGTACATCCTATCTTTGCTACACAGCTCAAGGCAGTGTACATAGTGTTCACTTCTATTTTTTCCATAACACGTCACACTCTCAGATACTTATTTACTCATTTACTCATACTACATATGGTAAAATTATTCAACTTATATAGAGGTCCTCTAACATTTTGAAGAATGACTGTATAGTATATGTGCTGATCCAGCAGGACTTAGATGCTACCAATATAACACCTTCAATTACAACTTTTGGATGTCTCTTATTCATGCTTCCTTTCTGGTGACAGGTGTCAACATCACTCCATTGGGCTAAGGCAGAGACTAGCCAAGGTGTTCCTCTATGGATCATCATCTTAGCCATCCTGATTGGACTGCTGCTGTTGGCACTGCTCATCTATGTGTTGTACAAGGTGAGTTCACAGAACAATCTAATAATAGAGGAATTCAGGGTTGGAGAGAAAATTTTAAAGCTCCAAAGTACTGTACAGTAGTGGCCAAAATTGTGGAAACCTTTTGGGAAAAGTGTATAGCAAAAATGCCACCTTTGGTTAAGTTTCCACCAATTTTTCTTCTAATTTCTTTATAACTGTAGCCTTGTTCACTTAATAATACTATTTTACATCGTTTTCCGGGCAACCAGTCAACTCTTTGCACCATTACTTTAATTTTATTACGTTTTACAAGCTCACTAAATGAAAGAACACAAAAACAACCCAACTAACTTGATAGCGATCACATAACACACTGACAAATGTCCTCCTCTCAGCTTCAATACATGACATCAATAACTGAATCCTACTGTGATCTGATTGGCTCATTGCCAAAACAAGATGAGACCTGATTGGCTCTCTAAACACTCATGCTCATTGGCTACAATCAGATGAAGGAAAGCTACTTGATATCAACCTACGCCAGTTGTGCTTCCTTTTTTTTGGCTATTTGGCTATAACTTTTCATAGAATACAGTACAGATAATTGAACAAACTTTTGTTGCATTACATTCTTGATTACATTATCTTTCCATTGATATATAATTTTATGGTACTACTAAAAAAATGTGGTGTTATTAGCCTTCAAACCTCAAAAATACACTTTTCCGAAAAGGATTCCACAATTTTGGCCACTACTGTATGTTATTTGACTTGTAAGGACTGCAGATGTAAAAAAATACGAGCAGATAGGTAAATTCTGAAATCTCAGAAGCCAGTTAAAATCTGTGGTGTACAGAATGTTAAATGGTGTCTGTGGGGGAGTGGCTTCAGCACCCTGGACAGCACCTGACTCTTCTGCAATACCTGTGATTTTGTAGCCCTGCCCTGGTGAATTCACTCTGAGTCATTTCCCTGGGATTCCACAAGTGTACAGCTTGGCTTGCAACAGAGAATTGCAACTTAAAGCACATATAATTACATTTTTAGCATTCTGCTGCTGCATGAAGTAGCCTGTACACAGTCAGGAAAACAGCATGGATCAATGTTTAGTGTTTTTAAGGGAGACAGTTTCCAATATTCAGCTGAAACTCCGTGAGTGGGGCATGATGCACATGAATATTTATTTATTTATTTATTTATTTATTTAATTACATTTATATCCCGCCCTTCTCCTTGCGGACTCAGGGCGGCTAACAATTAGATAAAATACAAAAAACAATACACCTTTAAAATTAATTAAAAAGAAATATTTAAATCTAATTTGAATTAAAAGTAATTAAAACCCCTTTAAAATCCCTTAGGCCAGTCCCGCAAGCTGGAACAACCATGTCTTGTGATTGAGCCAAGAGTTTTTAATTATTATGGCTCCAGTCCTTATGAGTTTAGAGAACTATGAACTTAATTTTTCAGCATTAATCAATGGGTTGAGACAACCCCCCCCCCCCCAGTTTGGTATAGTGGTTTAAGGCATCAGGTTAGAAACTTGAAAATTCTGAATTCTAGTCCTGCCTTAGACAGAAAGCCAGCTGGGTGACCTTAAGTCAATCACCTATCTTAGCCCTAGCAAGAAGATAGTGATAAACTACCTCCAAAAATGTTGCTAAGAAAACTGCATCTTGTCCAGGTATCCTCTAGGAATCAAGAATGATTCAAAGATACTAAGAAATAACAACAATAATTTAATGTCAGGAGACACTCAAAGAGAAATGGAAAGAGAAAACTTATCTCTTCTTTTCAGATAAAAATCTAGAGGTATTTCTGTACTAATTTGATTACAGTGGTCTTAAGCAAGAAACATAAATGTGCCTCTATAAGACCACTCAACCGCAAAATTCTGTGGGTGATGTCCTGTATAGATGCTGTATAGATTTCTCTTTCTTTCTTTCTTAGCTGGGCTTTTTCAAACGCTCCCTTCCTTATGGCACAGCCATGGAGAAAGCTCAGCTGAAACCACAAGCAGCTTCAGAGGCCTAGCGGGTTCAGCGTTGCCTTCTATGTGTGTGTGTTGCTGCTGCTGCCGTCCTGCAAAGAGGCACTCGGATCGCCCATCAAGAGCACTGGGGAGGAGGAGGAGGAGGAGGAGGGATTCCAACCAACACCGGCAAGGCGTAGAAGGGCAGGGCCACAGACATTGGGCCCCTTGGATGACTGCAGGGATCAGCGCACCAAGTACCTCTGCTTCCCCTCCGTGAAAGAGGCTCCAACCTTGACACTAAGTGCCCTCCTTTCCCAGCCACCCTCATCCCCTGAGGCTTGGATCCTACAAACAACTTGTGTCATGAACTGAGGGCTGCAACAGGCATTCACTGCCAGCCCAAGGGAATACTTGAAGCCGCTGGAGCGGCAGGTGCTGGCCTGATTTCAGGCCTCTTAAGCCAAGCTGTCTGTTCCGTCCACCTGTGGGGAAGGGACTATCGTTGTGGACAGTTTTCAAGCTGCCGGTTTTCTTTAGATTAACACAGCTTGGCTGGGAAGAAAAAAAGCACAATCACCTCCTGAGTCCAGCTCTTTCTCCTCCGTGGACCAGAATGGAGGATCCTGGGCTCTCTCTCCTTTCCCGTCTTCCCCGGTTTGCTTCCTGTGGGGGACGACATGGGGCAGACACTGTAGCTGGGAAAGCTGGATGCTCCCACGATGCCAAAGATTTGCCACATTAGGAAGCCAAGCCATCACCCGGTGTCGGCCCGGACTCGCCGATGGTCTTCGCACTGATCTCCGGAAACCGCTAGAGATTTTTATTTTTCAGATGCCACTTTAATTAAAAGAAGAAGGAATGAGGAAGCGAGTGCCACCTCTTGGTAGCAGAGACAGGGGTTGCTGTTTTAATTTAAAATGTCCAATGTGCAATAAATGCTTCCCTATTTTCTACTTCGTCTACTTAGTAAATGTTAGCACCATGTGGTTGGGTAATAGCCTCTAGAACTGCTTGTTTCTTTTCAAGGGAGTTGGAATTTTGATGGTGTAAATAAGCATTTTAGATGAATGGAACAGAACAGAGTTGGAAGGGGACCTTATAGGTCATCTAGTCCAACCCCCTGCTTAACAAGAGACCCTATACCATTTCTGACAGATGACTGTCCAGTCTCTTCTTAAAAGCTTCCAGTGATGAAGCACCCCACAACATCTGAAGGCAAACTGTTGCATTGGTTGATTGTTTTCATTGTCAGAAGAGTTCTCCTTATTTCTAGGTTGAAGCTTTTCCTTGATCAATTTCCATCCGATGTTCCTTGTCTGGCCTTCAAGTGCTTTGGAAAATTGGTTGTCCCCTTCTTCTCTGCGACAGCCCCTCAAGTATTGGAACACTGCTATCATGTCACTCCTGGTCCTTCTCTTCACTAGACTAACCATGCCCTGTTCCTGCAACCGTTCTTCATATGTTTTAGCCTCCAGTAGTAGGGGGTAGTAATAAATAGTAGTGGTAAGCAGTAGTAGAGGGTCACGTAAAAGAAACAGCTAAGAAGAGAGCTTTGGTAGAAGCATTATTTGGGATGGTTGTGAAGAATGAAGAAACCTTTTCAAGATGCCCTAAGAAACATCTATCCCTTTGGGATTCTTGTTATGTGTCCCCCAATCAATACATAGCCTAATATGGAAGTGATACATGGTAGCTTTGCAAGGATTTATTTATTTAGCTTGGCTTTTCAAATATGTTTCTTAACTTTTCTGTTGAGGCAGGCTTTTTCGGGCAACATTTTTCAACATTATTTTGTGCTGTTCTGGCTCTTGGTGTTACGGGAGAGCAAGAGGCTAAATTTTTAGCCTGGAGGTTTTTTTGGGGGGGGGGCAGGGGGCCCCAGGAAGGTTAAAGACTGAAATGATATCTTTTTAAGTATTTAAAAATCAGCATAACCTGGGTCAGTCAGCTAGTTGGAATCAAACAGCCCAGGAAATAAGCTTTAATACAGTACTGTAATGCAGAGCTGGGTGATAAATAGGAGTAGAGCATGACAGAAAGCAACCTGAGCCATGAACGTGATTTAAAATACTGATCTTGGTTTTTCCGAATGAGAATATTGAGACCAGGTTTGGAATATTATTGGTCAGAGCTCTTGACCTGTGCAAACCTATTTTGCTTTCATTGCCATTTTTAGGCTTTTGTGGAAAAGCATGACAACGTAACATTTTGTGCCGGCCTCGGCCAATAGCAAAATAACAAAACTAGAGGGGAAAGGCCAATAAAAATGAGTCATGTGAGTGGCAATTCATTCTGTTGCATCAAATGTGTGAACTCCATCCAGTAGTTTGATGACATGTTTCCTGCAGAGCTTTAAACTGGGTATTTCAGAATGTGCCTGAGTAGCTTAAACGGCTTACACAACACTTGGAATGTCTGCTCTAAACTTTTATTCCTTTCATAGCCTTGGGGATGAATGGGCATTAATCCTGGTTACTGAAGTCGGCCCAATACACCAATCACAAATCTCCCTGTGGCAAAGCGAAAACTCTAGTCTAGAATCATTGGCTTGGATCATATGTAGTATATGAAGCCTTCATGACAATAGTTTGGCTTTGGTTTAGCACATTGAACCCAGTCAATGGGTTTTGTTCAAAAACTATATTAGTCTTATCCCAAATTAAGACCAGTACCGTGGTGCTCTAGTCTAGACAGCTAAAAATTATTCTGGGGGTAACGGGGGGGTTGTGCCACAACTTTCTATTGCGACAATCATTTCAGCTTGATAGGCCTTGCTTAGAATTTCTAGATGTGCGCAAGCAAGGTTTTATTCTAAAAAATGTTATCAACCCTAGGCTGTGCATGGAATGTTATGCTAACCCTTATCTTCTGAGCAGCCATGTCAGGAGAGGACCAGTTAAAAATGAAATGTCTGCAAGAAAACAAGCAAGCTCAGAGAGCACCAAGAACTCCTGTCAACCCTTCTCCTTTATTAGTATTTTCCTCTGCCAGCATGTGGGAGTTTTTTGTAGCCTTTAACCCAACTCAAGCCGCCTTTAATATGTTACCCTATTGGGGAGGCTTCCGGTAAAGCACCAATCAAGTGACTGGAAGAACGTGCCCAGATGAATGCTTCTAAGTCTCAGGAAAAAGTGGCACCACTGTGTTTGTTGTTTTTGAATGTGATCCCTTAAGAGACTAGCTTCACCCTATTACCACCGAATAAGATACTAGTTTCATAGTCCATGTGAAACGATGCTTTAAAAACACAAGCAGTACAGACATCCCTAAGGGAACATGACCTGTCCATATGCACCATTTTAAATTCTGTGTCACAGAGGGTTAATTTGCATTAGTTAACATCAGGAACAAATCTTAACTGCAATGTAGGAGCATTTGCACAGGAAGCAACCTCAGTGGCCAGTAACCTTTAATGTCAAGAGAACTTTTGGGGGGGTTGTCTACCCCTTCCAAATTCCTAAATGAGCCCTGTTACAAACAATCCATTCATGGTTTCAAAGCACTGAATGCTTTTTATCAGATGTGAAAGAGTGGATTTCTCTTGCTTTTCATAAGGAAAACAAACACACAGAGAAAAGTTAGGCCATTTACTATCAAAGATTGGAAGAAAACCTTTATTTCAAATAAAATGAAAACCATGTGAAGTTCTTAAAATCTCTACAGACTACCTTCCTTTGTGCTTCTGCCCAACTCAGCTTCTACTTTATCTCTTTCTATCATCCCAGACAGGGTGGACTGCAACTCCCATCATCTTTAGATTGCTAGTAATGATTCATTGATAGGAGTTGCTGTCTCCTGTAATGAGACTCGGATGAAATTTTCCCAAATTCCCGTCCTTCAAAATAAAATGTTTCCAAGCCTGGGTTTTGATTGAAAATTTGACCTAATGATGTGCAATAGCAAGAGGGGTGAATAATACAACAAGGCAGCTTTTAAACAATATGAAAACTACAAACAGCAATTCTGGAGTAGGTCATCTCTACATATAGTGGTCTAAAAGAGTTAAGACTTCTCGTTGACCCTAGCTTGGGAAAGCGACTTTTCTGCCTTTTTTCAACAGCTGCCCCCACTGATGGGATACTGTCAAAACCATGAGATCCCTTGGGCAAGCAGATTTCCCTTGACCTCAAGTTGTGCCCCTTGCTTTTTTCTCCCTGATCACATCTCATGCAAGTTCAGTAGCGACATTTTGTGATGTTCTAAAGCAGCTGTGGACTTCGCAGTTGCAGCTGGACTCCCAAGTTCCAACAGCCTCATCCAGCATAGCCAGAAAAGGGCTGATGGGAGCTGTAGTCCATGAGTATCTGACAAACATAAATTCTTCCTTCTAGAAAAAAAAAGTTCACTGAGAGAACAAAGGCATTTCTTCCCTCTCTTCTAACCTGTGGCTCATCATCTTAGCTAAATTAGGAAAGGCTCATTGGATTCAGGCACTTTAAAACCATCGCTGGTTCCAGGCTCAAGGCCCCATCGAGCTACTTTGACAGCACATCTGAGGACTCAGACACCAGCTTTCCATCCCGAGTCTCAATCTTCTTGATGACAATGGCCTTGGTCTTGCTGATGGCCGAGCTCTCCATGGGCAACATATTCATGGAATATCCACCACTTGAGTAGGAAGAGTTGTAACCACCCCCATAACCACTGAAGCCACTGCTTAGTCCACCTGGAAAAGAAATAGAAAATGGTTAAGGAGAGAAGAGCAGTTTCCAGCATTTGGTATCTTATTTTAGTTTTTATCTCCATATCTAGAAATGGGAAGAGTGTCACAATAAGCAGCGGTTACATGCACGATTTTTCCTTATTCCTTTTCCCAGATGGAGATGATCCCCCCTCTTGCTACCTTGTCCAGTTATAGTGGCACCTCCTGACACGCCAAATTCCCTAAGGCAGGGGTGTCAAACTGTCGGCCCGCGGGCCGGTTTCATCATACCGGAGCCGTGCCCACTCCATTGCCAGCAATGGCGAAAAAGCTCTGATACGTCGCGCGACGTCACATGATGTCGCGAATTTGACATGCCTGCCCTAAGGTGAGGGCTGGGAGATGAATACCTGAGACTAAAATAGACTTCAGATTGCCCCTATTGCTCTCATCTTAAACACTGTGACAACCTTATACAGGTAGTCCTCGACTTACAACAGTTCATTTAGTGAGCATTCGAAGTTACAACACTACTGAAAAAAGTGAGTTATGACCTTTGTTCAATCATTGCAGTATCCCCCATGGTCACATGATTAAAATTCAGACGCTTGGCAACCAATTCATATTTATGACAGCTCAGGTGTCCCAGGGTCAGGTGATCCACCTTTTGTGACCTTCCCACGAGCAAAGTCAATGGGGAAGCCAGACTCACTTAACAACCATGTTACTAACCTAGCAACTGCAGTGATTCACTTAACTATGACAAAAGAAGGGTCATAAAATGGGGGTAAAACTCACTTTAACAACTGTTTTGCTTAGCAAAAGAAATTTTGGACTCAATTGTGGCCGTAAGTTGAGGACTACCTGAAGTCACATAGGGACAAAGAAAGGATAAGTAGCAAGCCATTTCTTCAAGCTTAGAGGAATGGATACAGCCTCATATTTTGTTTCGATTCTCTACACACAGAAACACACCCTTTGTATACATATTTTTCTCATGGGGCACTGGGCAACTAAACAGAATTTCTGGAAATCAATGGCTTAAAAACTTGGACAATATGGTCTCAGAATTACAAATGGGGCGGGGGGGACAAAATTTGGCACAGAGTCCTCACTAAATGCTATCTCAAGTCTTTACAAACTTGCTGCTCTCCAAATGTATTGGAATGTAACTTTTATCAGTTTCTCATCCAGTTGGGGACAATCACAATCTAGTTCAACGCATTTGAAACACACCAGGTTGACAGTAGCTGTTCCAAAAACAACCTCCAATTAACAGACATCCACAGATGTTTGCAGGCTGCATGCTTTGTGCAAGAAATGGACAATCCCTACCTCCCAGCCTCTTTTTCTGCCAGGTTACAGCACAGCTCCCTCATTTACACCTGAACTTTTTCCCCATTTAAAAAAAAGTAACACACCAATTTTTAATTTTTGAAAAACCAACCTACTACCCATAAAAGTCTCAAAAATATGGCCCTGGCAATTGCTTGCAACATTATCATGGGTACATCCTTGCAACTGCTTTATGCCAAAGCCAGTTTTCATTTTTGATCTTTGAAGGACAAACAATTTCAGAGTGCCTATTTTTTTAATCACTATTTTTTCTGCAAAATAAAAGAGGACTTTTTTTTAAATGCAGAAAACTAATTTTTTCTCGACCCTTGCCCTCCAGATCTACTGGAACAGGGCTCAGAGATGGGAAAAGCTGCTGGAGGGGACAGATGCCAAAAGTGGCGAGATGGGTGGCAAACAAAAGTAATAAACAAATAATTTAAAAAAAATAAAGAAGAAATCATTTATTGCCCAGCCAAACATGCTTCAACTATGATGGTTTGTCCTCTGAAATGGCTGGCTTGTCTTCATACTAGCATGTATGTGTTCCTCTGCCAACTGATCTGCAGTTATTTCAACTGCCATTGGAAATAAGAAAACTGGGAAAAAAAGGCACTGTAATAAAACAGAACTTGGGTGGCATCACTTAAGCCATAAAAAAACCCAACCCTCAACTCAGGGAAGACATCCAAATTCATATGCTGAAATATTATTACAATTTTGATTGATTACATCAGTTTGTAAAATAGAGGAAGTTAAATTATTTTATTTCCTCTTAGAAAAAGAATTGGCAGAAGACAAGCTGTTCTTTGTTAAGATCAGGGCAGGTATCAAGTTAAACAGGTTCACAAATGAAAGCAAGGAAATAAACATCACTTAACAGTGTTGAAACACTTGAGATCTAACTCCGCAATCAAATATTTTTTATATAAGATGCACGCCACCCAGAATTACAATTATGTGAATTGGGCGGCTCTCTAAATCTTCTAAATAAAGATAGGATTCTCCCTGCTCTGGTTCATTTCTGACATTTGCATTGATATCTTGATCACCCTTCCCCTCTTCTTCAACATGCGACATTTGCTTACCTGAATAACCAGTTGTCTTAGTCTGAATGCTGAGATTCTGCATTCCAGACTCCAGTCTGTAAAAGAGGGAGAGTTGGGGAAGAGAAGTCCCCCCCCAAAAAATAAATCAGTCAAGAATGACATTAAGTCAGAAAAAATATAAGTCCCACAGAACAAGTTCTGCAGCCAAGTTGAACTTGAACAGAATTTGAACAGTTTCTTGATGCGCTAATGATCTCAACGGCTGTGTTAGGCTAAAACGCAGATCACTAGTATATATATATATATAGTAGTGGCCAAAATTGTGGAAACCTTTTGGGAAAAGTGTACAGTAGAAATGCCACCTTTGGTTAAATTTCCACCAATTTTTCTTCTAATTTCTTTATAACTGTAGCCTTGTTCACTTAATAATACTATTTTACATCGCCTTCTGGGCAGCCAGTCAACTGTTTGCACCATTACTTTAATTTTATTACGTTTTACAAGCTCACTAAATGAAAGAACACAAAAAAAACCAACCAACTTGATAGCGATCACATAACACACTGACAAATGTTCTCCTCTCAGCTTCAATACATGACATCAATAACTGAATCCTACTGTGATCTGATTGGCTCATTGCCAAAACAAGATGACACCTGATTGGCTCTCTAAACACTCATGCTCATTGGCTACAATCAGATGAAGGAAAGCTACCTGATATCAAACTAAGCCAGTTGTGCTTCCTTTTTTTGGTTATTTGGCTATAACTTTTCATAGAATACAGCACAGATAATTGAACAAACTTTGTTGCATTACATTCTTGATTACATTATCTTTCCATTGATATATAATTTTATGGTACTACTAAAAAAAATGTGGTGTTATTAGTCATCAAACCTCAAAAATACACTTTTCCCAAAAGGTTTCCACAATTTTGGCCACTACTGTATATATAGTACATAGTGCATATGTTGGGCCGATCCTTACCTGATCTCTTCTCCTTCCAGCAGCTTCCTGTAGGTGGCAATCTCTATATCCAGGGCCAGCTTGGTGTTCAGCAGCTCCTGGTATTCCCGCAGCTGACGTGCCATGTCTTGTTTGGCTCGCTGCATAGCACTCTCTAGTTCAGCCAGCTTGTTGTTGGCATCCTTCACGGCCAGCTCCCCACGCTCCTCTGCTTCAGTGATTGCCGCTTCCAAGCTTGCACGCTGTAGGAGTTCAAAAGGCAGCTCTAATCTCAAAAATCAGGAAAAAGGCAGGGGTGGAAAGAATGCCACATTTTACAGTACTCCCACCCTTTCATGAGATGGGGAATTAGATTCAGTGGACAGATTTGTCCCTGGAAAAATAGCCTAAAGGTAAGGAAAGAGAACCCTATATTGTCTCTTCCCAGATGAGGATAACCATGCCTGATCAAAGCACAATTCATTATAATTGGATTGAATGACTCCTATACTTTCATATCCCATTTATCCTCCAGGAAAGTGAAAGCCACAAGCAAGGATCTTTATCCAGTTCCCTTCCTTTTAATTCCTGCAAACATTTTTACAGATGAAGGTGAGAAGCTGTGCAGAGTCCCAGAATAATCATATTCCATCTATCGTAGGAGGAAATAGCATGAACTTGCATGAATAAAATGGAGAGAGCACAGACCATCTCCCCACTAGTCTCAGAAAGCAAGAATAGCTCAAAGTTCATCTTCTCTGTTTAACATGCTGCCTTTCACCTTCCATATCACCCACCCACATTCCCAGGCCTTCAACCATACCAGCAACCCACACCCCTAATCTGATAGATCAAATGGCAACACCCAAACATTAGCCATCCACTTCATATGGTCACAAAAGGAAAAATCAACTAATCTTCTTATCAGCTGAATGGCCTTCAAGGGGTCAAACAAAAGTCAGTCTCCCCCAGGCATTTACTCCCAAGTCATGCCTCTGCAGCATTCCTACAGCCCAAGACTTCAGGATTAGGAGGAGCTATAAGCCAGTAACAGCATAGAGGAGGCCACTGGTTCTCCAACCTAGTTGGAGATGAGACTGTACTAAGGACCTTTTACATACACAACTGTGGGTACTGCCATCAGGTTTTGGCTCATCCCCACTTTCTGCCCCAGAAAAGGCTGAGCTTCTTAATACAGACATTCCCAACCTAGCACTGTCAGACATATTGAACCATATCACCCATATCCATGTTGTGGTGACTGTAGGAGCTGTGGCTCAATAACTCTGGATGCTGGTAGAAGACCAATATATAAGTTCCTTGGGGCAAAGCAGAGAGCTAGCATGACCAACTTAAGGAGGCTTGCAGAAGACAGATTTCTGACCTGGCCTTTCAAACCATCGATTTCTGATTGTATGCGGTTTATCATTCTGCTCAGTTCATTGATTTCATTCTTGGTGCTGCGGAGGTCATCTCCATGCTTGCCTGCCACAGTCTGGAGCTCTTCATACTAAAGAGAGAAGATAAGAGGGGACAAAAGCTATGATGACAGGAAGGCCACAGGAACAGAGAACTGGAGAAAACCTAAATTTCATTCTGTCTAGATTACTTGAGGGCAGGCAGAAGACACTGGAGAACTCACTGACTGGGATCACACATATTCTAAACTCTGGTTTATTTTAAGAGTGGTCTGTTGAACAAACCAGTTTTGCATACCCTATTGAACCATAATCCATGCGTTATAAGCCACAATAGTTAAGTTCACATATCAAAATCAAGCCACATTATAGCTTTACCTAAAGATATAATGTTGCTTGTTTGATTTTGATATCCATTCTCCAATCCCAGCTGAGCCAAGAGTAAATGTAAAAGATAATCTGTGAGGAAAGTGCCTAGTTGTCTATCCTCCATTTCCTTTCAATCAGCTGGTCTACCAAAGTTGCCATGAGTGTCTGAGTAACCACCTAAAGTATATATCATAAACCGAGAAATGCATCATAAACCTCACATGAACCACAACTATTACTTGGATAACCTCAGGCAAGTAATTATCTCCTAGTCTCAATCCCCTTCTCTATTTGCAATGAAAATAACGTAAGGCTTCCATCGTTGGGATAATAGTGCTATTAATATACTGTCCAAGTTATAATTCTGGATACCAAACATTTTTTTCCCAACCCCAACTCAGATACTAAACCCCAACATTGGCCAGCATGCCATGAAAGGATACCAAGGCCACCAGGGGAAAATGGAGGCCACAACTGAATAGGAGTCGGTAAATGAAATGATCTGATAAATATTTTCCATTCATGCCAATTAAACACTTGCTAAAATGGAATTCCAAATTAATAGGGTTGAGGCTTATGTTCTTTTTTTTTCCCCTTCTGTTTAGCCACAGACTGTCTGGACAAGTGCCTGCTGTTTTTTTCTTGGAAAGTTTTTTCAGAAATGGCTTTGTGCCCAAGAAAGGACTGGAACTTCGTCCTGGACTAGGAGAGACAGGATACCCATGTTCCAGTATCTCAGGGGTTGCCACAAAGAAGAGGGAGTCAAGCTATTCTCCAAAGCACCTGAAGGCAGGACAAGAAGCAACGGATGGAAACTAATCAAGGAGAGAAGCAACCTAGAACTAAGGAGAAACTTCCTGACAGTTAGAACAATTAACCAGTGGAACAACCTGCCTCTAGAAGCAGTGAATGCTCCAACACTGGAAGTTTTTAAGAAGAGACTGGACAGCCATTTGTCTGAAATGGTATAGGTTTCCTTACCTGAGCCGGGGGTTGGACTATATGACCTCCAAGGTCCCGTCCAACTGTTATTCTGTTATTCTCTATTAGTCTCCTAGTTTCTAGCCTGATGCCTTAACCACCACACCAAAATGACTCTTTTTTTTTTACACTTTTTACTGTTAACTATCTCTAACCATCTCTCCTTCTTTTCGCTGGTTATTGTTTTCAATTGTTTTTAACACTAGCCAGAGTTATCACAGAATCAGGCACCTTTAGACATCTGACAAACCAATCCATCAATAAAATAAGAGTTATTGCAATATTGGGATTCTCCAGGCTTTCCCATAAAACAGCCAATATTTTCAATAATAAAACAGTGGGGACAAAGATTCCATTACTATGCAAAGAGAGGAGGGTGGAGTCGAGCAAACGGAAAGAGACTCTGGAAGGCAAATGTGGATGCTGCTGCTCTTTCATCGTTGCATGAAGCACGGATTCCTTCCTTCAGTGAAATGAGTTATCCCCCCACTCCTAAAACTTTGAGTGAAAGGACTGAAGCTCTTCATTGAGAATTAATTTTTCATCAGGTACAGTCAAGGAGAGCCAGAGTCAGCATGGAGCTCACCTTGATCTGGTACATCCTCTCTGCCTCAGCCCGGCTCCTGTTAGCAATTTCTTCATACTGGGCTTTGACATCAGTAATGATGCCATCCAGGTCCAGGCTGCGGTTGTTGTCCATGGACAGGATCACAGAGGTGTCGCTGATTTGAGACTGTAGGACACGCAGCTCCTGTATCAAAAGGTAATGTTTATATTTATCCCAAATCAAAGAGTAGGCAACCCCCTCAGGGAACCGTGAGGTGAGGATTCAAATCTTTCCTACTCATTCCTCTACTGGCAAGAAAGTTCTTATTCAACAGGTGAAGTCTCAGAACCAATGGCAGAACTACTTAAGTGATGGTTAAAGAGAGAACTTCTTACAGGCTGAGCTTCCTCGGCCTGAACTTCTGCAGACCAAGAAGGGGAACCTTGTCAAACCTGAATCACTGGGGAAGCCTTCAGTAAAAAATGTATTTGTTTCCTAGCAAACCAAACCAAATCAAATTGTACTTTGTGAGGGACATCCTCGTCAAAGCTGAATGTAATCTCCAATTTTTTGCAGCCTCAAAGCTATTTCTAACCATAGCTGCCACAACCTGACAGCACCTTTTCTGTCCGGTTTGCAGAGAAAGAAAAACCACATTTAATATAGGTCATAAAATAGGCTAAACATTTCTGTCTTTCCCCACCAGCCCCCAAAAATATCCTGGCTCTATTTTCTTTGCATTACCACCCCCTCTCTCTGCAGCCCTTTCCCCACACAAACATTAACTGGGGTCCCCAAGCCCCCCAAAGTTCTCCCTTGTAATAAAATAGCAAACAACATACTATAATTTACCATGATTCTCATATTTCATGCAGAAATGGAAACTAGATCCAAATGTCACCATGTAGAAAGGCAGACTATAAGGCTAAGAATATAGCCTTGTTTTAGACTTTTTAAAAGGCTTTGACACAACATCAGAGCTATCTTAGTGCAGCCTCTTATTAGCTTGCCAGCCCCGTTAACAAGCCAAAGGACTGATTCCCTTCATTGAAATTAGCTGCAGTGGCCAGTCTGGGCTGTTTCGGTATGTAGAAAGGGAACATAGATGCCCTTTCGTCATCTGATCCAGACACCACACTTCTTGGCCTGTCCATATCTTCAAAAAGGATATATTTTTTTAAAAAGCCGTTCTTCACTCAATTCAATCCACTGTCTACCTCATCATAAAACTGCCTCAGGAAGTTGATCTCGTCAGTCAGACATTCCATGCGGGATTCCAGCTCAACCTTGTTCATGTAAGCCTCATCCACATCCTGAGGGAAGAATGCACCATTATAGGTAACAACTCATAGACCAAATTCCAAAATTGTGATAACTAACGAAGAGACATGATCAGCCTGCCATTTACCTTCTTCAGAAGGACAAACTCATTCTCCTTCTCAGTTCGATGGTTGATTTCATCTTCATACCTGTAGGACAAAGGAAGTTAAGTGGTTATTATTATGTGCAATTTGGACCAAGGCTAAGGACTTTGTGCTAGGATCACTATTAGAAATATGCAAAGATAGCGATGCATCTGACCCTGTGCAAAGTGCTGCATCCCCTGACTAATCACTGCCAAAATTGTCTTGTCAAATTTTTAAAATTCTATTTACATTATTTTAATTTTAAAAATGTACATATGAAAAGCTGGCATTCTGCACAGCAACTTGTCAACCATTAGCATTACAGTAACTGTTTTTGCAGAAATGCTTTTGGAGCCCATAAGGAACCCTAGAATATAAAAATATAAAATGGCTGAAAGACAGTGCTTAAGAACTGGGCCTACCAGTTCCCCTACCCCCCAAAAAAACCAACCCCACAACAGACCCAGCTGTTAGACCCTCAGTATACATAGAGAGCGACTCAAAGGAGTTTAGGGATACCTTCATCGATTTGCTTTCTGGCCACAATACTTGAAGTGGGTGCACATTACAGGTTCAATGGCAATTGAGACCAGAAACTCCATTGCTAAGCAATGTAGTGGTGGAGCACAGTGACATGTGACCAGTGGTGGGATTCAGCCGGTTCGCACCACTTCAGCAGAACCGATAGCTAATTTTTTGTTGCCCATTCCCAGAATGGACTTCCAGAAGCGGCATCCACACAGAGAATCGGTTGTTCACATATTTGAATCCCACCACTGCATGTGACCATATTGTCAGATGACCGCATCGCTTAACAACAACAATCCCAGTTGCCATCTTTAAACAAGGACCCTGCAGGCATTAAGTGAAGACCTCACATGATTGTGACTTCCTGCTGGCTTTCCCATTGACTTTGGTTATGGAAAGCCAGGAGGGAACATTGGAAATTGAAATCATATGGCTGTGACTTGCTGCAACGGGCAGGAGGCTCTGAGGATGAGTTTTCCCCCACCCCATATAGCACCATAACTTTGAGTGGCCACTAACAAATGGTTATAATCTAAGGACCATCTGGCAGAGTCAAAATGCATTCAGCATCAGCTACCCTTTTGTCTGCTCAGGCACCCTTTAATCTACCTTTATAAAGAAGAGAGAGAGTGAAACTTGCAGATGGCAAGTTTAGCTATGTGGTTTCATGTGGAGCAGTTCTGGAACTGGGAAAGTTGGAGCAAGAATGTGGCATAGCCAGGGATAGCTGATTTGGGTACAAACTCAAGATACCACAGATTCTGCCTCCTTCTTAACACTCTCAAGAATGGATGTGAAATTTCAGGATGTGAAACCAAAAATATGTACAGGCAAGAGGCTATTTTCACCAGCCATTCTTCCCATGCTCAAACACCCACTTTCTCCAGTCCTAAGCTGTTGTTAGCTCTCTATTTCTACAAGGGATACAACCAAGAGAATACAAGTGTAACATTTTATTTTGAAAATGCCTAAGAAAGAAGAGCTGCACACGATGACTCTTTGGAAAAGATAAAGATCCCAAATTACTGCCATCAAACTCTTTCTCTTTATTTGAGTTTCCAGGCATCACATTCCTGTCCAGCTCCCAATGTCAGAAGTATTTGGAAAGCTGGAAATTCTTAAAACAATATCCCACTCCCTCCATTGTAAAACAGTCTCATCCAACTTTGCATTCCAGCCCAGAAGTATCCCTCTGTAAAGATATAAAGGCAATAGGGAAGAATGACATGCTAACAATGCAGGTCGTCCTCAATGTCCCTGCCTCCATTAAAAACAGACACTTGCAAAACAAGTTAGGTAATTCTCCCATTAGCGGTTTGTCTAACAACAATCTTGCTTGGTACAAAACAGACACCCAGGTGTGTGTTGACAGGTGTTGCTACCACATAGAGGAATAGGGCTGAACAATTCTACTGGCAGAGCCCTCCCATCCTCAAACACTTCAAAGAGATCTAGAGATCTTGGTTTTGGTTTACCACTTCCCTTTCTCTGGAAATAATCCTCGCCCAGCATTCTGGTACAATTCCTTTGTTTAGCATGGTTTGATAAATAAATCCTTAACATTATCCTTCCAGCTCTGATCAATGAGTTTTGTATTTTTTTATATTACACCAAATAAACGTATATAGGGCACCTGGTTGGCACAGGTCAAAATTAAGAGACGGGGGCTATAATAACAATGCAAAATCAAACACAAGGATAGCAAAACCCAAAACAAGACAACCCACCAGCAGCCGCTAACAATTTTGATGTGTGGCAGGGATTTTAAAAATAGTTTTGGTAAACCAAGCTACCATAGCAGTTTGAAGGATTGCTGTGGAATTTCCACAGTTCTAAGCATAAGATGGCTACTTTGTCCAGCCCCAGCATACCCAGAGCAATGGAACCAGAAGACCCCACTCACTTGTTCTTGAATTCTTCCACCAGGCCTTGCATGTTTCCCAACTCAGCATCCAGCCTTGCCCTCTCCTGACCCAAGTTTTCCAGCTGCCGACGTAAGTTGTTGATGTAGGCCTCAAACATACTGTCCATGTTGCTCCGTGTAGTCTTCTGATTCTGCAGGAGGCTCCATTTGGTTTCCAACATCTTGTTCTGCTGTTCTAGGAAGCGAACCTGAGAGGGAAGGGAGAACAGACTAGGAAGTAAATTCCTGATACTTCAGCAGCACCCATGAAGCTCTGCGTCTTTTTAGATATGGGCCACCCCCATTTATCCCTTTTATCAGAATTCAAACTGGTATTTTTCCTGGCCTAAGGTAGGCCATATACTACTGGCCTAAGATAGGCCATCACCCCACAGTCAGAAAAGGCTCAAAGCAACTTGCAAAGCTGTAGTTCCTGCTACAAGCAAATTGATTCAGCAGGCCTTCTCAAATTTAGCACACTATTAAGTACTATTCAATTACTAGAAATATCTGAGAACAAAAGATATACATACTAAGGAGTATGCCTCTGGGCTCATTGCATAATTTATTTGTGGTGTTTCCTGAATGGAATCTAAAGTGGTTGAGGAAGTGTAACTACTACAAGTTACTTTCTGGACTTCGTTTATGCCGGGTTTTATAGGTAGCCTTTAGTGTGATTGCCATCACCCCAGGATATTTCTGAAAGTTGGCACTAAACTTTACAGTTTAACATAAACAGAATATTAAATTCCCAATGAGAAATCATATTATTTATCTGATTTTAAGTTAAAATTAACTTAATTTTAGCTATCCCAGACTCTCCTACTTTCTGGGATGTGAGCCGCTGCCTCCGTTAAGAAATCAAGTATGGCCTGTAGCCCCAAATAAAAAGATCTGATTTATTTTAAACAACTTTAAATAATTGGAAAGCCAGAGCAAAAAAAGAAAAAGAGACAGCTAAAAATTGTAGCAGCTCTTGTTTAGTTTGGGCTAATGAAAACAACAAATAATATAAAAATAGCTCAGTAATTTCACTTTAAAATCAAATGTAACAGAAGAATCAGGAAAAACATTTTGCATCACATACTTCCCTGCTTATCCTGACAATAATAATAGTCTGTCTCAACATGAGATACTTCCATTGCGTTATTCCCATTACCCGAGGAAGATGGAAATCATAGTCCAATAGTTCTAGAGAATCCCAGGTTGGGAAAATCAGCAAAACTGGAATTTGAAAATGCTCCCTCCTATATAGCTATGAGTACTCGCAGGAGGAAATTTTATCATCTCGGTTTAGAGCAGGGCTCCTCAACCTTGGCAACTTTAAGACTAGTGGACTTCAACTCCCAGAATTCCTCAGCCAGAGGAATTCTGGGAGTTGAAGTCCACAAGTCTTAAAGTTGCCAAGGTTGAGGAGCCCTGGTTTAGAGTGTTTTGTTGTGCTGCCCTGCAAACTTGACAATTCCCAGTTTCTCTGTGGATTAAGCCTGCTCCGAGTAAAAGGACAACAAACAGATGTCTGTTTTTCCAGAAATGCAAGGTGAAGAAGTGCACAGCTTCTTTTGGGCTTAAGGTGCACTGATCTTTCAGCGGCCCAAGGCCAGGTGATGCACTTCAAAGTGTAGGAAAGGCAAGAGCAAAAGTTAAGTCTGATTTAATTTGAATTAGACCCAATCAATTTGATTACCTCTCTCAGGCCTACAATAACTTTTCTCCCCTCCGCTCATTACAAATTACAATTCAAAGGCACTCTGGGGGCCGCACCCAAAGCTTTGGGAGTGCACCTCTGGTCTGGAAACTTATTTAAGTGATTGCATACCTGAAAACCACTATTGCAGGAACAATATTTAATTAACTTTTCAAAATACAGCCCCAGCACGTCAAAGGTCAAGAACAGTTTGTGTGATGAGACTGCCAACAACCCTTGAGGCAGAAGGGTCTTAAAAGGTCCTTTGTCACCCTGCCTTGACTCAACATATCTGAGCCATTATAAAGGCAAGAGAGGAAGCATTGGTGACGGAAAGCCAGCATTTAATCTGAAGCATAGTTAGCCAAGACTTAAAACTCAGAACCTGTTTTTAATGGCAGAACACACTTAGCAATTCAGATGATTACTGAAGAAGCAAATGCTTTAATGATGGAGTAACTGCAGTTTGACAGTCTTGTGAGGAGTTCACACTCTTAATGAAAGACTGGGGCATATATTATAAAACATAAACACATCTTTGGATGAACCATTTTGCCTTAGGGAAGAGGAACAGTGGGACGTGAAGCAGTAAGAGAACCAGAAGAGGAACAGGCTGAGAATAGACATGGGGGGAAACTAGAGTTATCTTAGAAAACCTCACTTTCTGCTCATCCGGGTGGTCAACCAAATGCCACCATCACTGTTTTTGGTTTCTCCTTTCTTTCAGATGGTCTCCCTATAACTATTGTACCAGAAAGTTTTAAGGATGGTTTCTGAAGGGAAGGTTACAAGGCTGCTTTGACAAATTCAAGATGATATACAACATTAGGAGGAACTATTTGTGTATTAAAAAGAGCCCTTCTTAGAAACAATCAGCTGAAGCTCAGCTCTGTTGCTTTAGGGTGCATGGCAAGAATGCTAGGGGGTCACCCAGGAAAATCCAGAGAGAACACTTTTCTCCAAAGATTCCACATCTCTGTTGATGCAGCATTCTGGCAAGAACTCAAGAGCAGAAGGTATGAAAGCTCTCACCTCATCATATGCTGCCTAAGTGATAGAGGTTGTTCAGGAAACACCCAAAGCTGCAGCACTTGTCTGATTTATTATGAGCCAAACTAATTAGGGGAATTGTCGGATTTCACACATATAGTCAAATCAGTTAATGCAGCCAGTTTTCAAGTCTGAGAAAGTTCACCAAGAGGGGTTATATATTTGGAATTCTTTGGGTATTCAAGAAATGTCTTCAAAGTAGACAACACAAGCTTCGGAAAAACCTCACCTGTGAAAGCAGCTGGTAGTAACATGGAATGAACTCTGCAGAGAGCTACCCACCCAGCTGAGAACTTTCCCACTTGTACTCTAGACCTGAAATATAAATTTTGCACCCATGTTCCTTTCAAATTGGGACACTGATTTCCCATTGTACAGTGCACACATTCAGCTCTCATCTGCCAGCTATTAAGAAACAGAGTGCATTCTGACCCACCTTCCTGCAGCCACCCTTCCCAGGCATTGTTCCTCCACTCAATCTCCTCCAATGGCCTTGACTGTGGCTTAAACTACTGGATACTACTCCACTCAATCTCCTCCAATGGCCTTGACTGTGGCTTAAATTACTGGATACTATTTAGTATCCATCCTGATACTGGCTGAATACTAAATAGAAACCCTGTTCAAATAATTTATCTCTGGAGTTTAAAAGGTTCTTCTCGCCAGTACCACAAAAAAATCACAAAAAGGTTCTTCTCGCCAGTCAATAATTTATCTCTGGAGTTTAAAAGGTTCTTCTCGCCAGTACCACAAAAAAGTACCACAAAAAAGTTCTTCTCGCCAGTCACAAAAAAGGCTGATTTTTGTACACATTAATAGTTCAAAATCCTTAACAAGGATACTGTAAGTACAGCAGCACTGCAGTTTCACTTATCTAGAGCTAATATACCCAGATTGCAAAAATCTAAATGGCCATTAGATGGCAATAAAGAGGTACAGAAAGATAATCTTCAATGCTGGCTAGAAACCATCTGGATTTTTGCAGGCCAGATACCATAGCCCTGAGGAGGAAGGCAGTCCATAGGATTAGCTACCTCTGTGAAAGTACAGTACCTTTCCATGTGTATACACATTGTTCCTTTTCACAATACATATTGTCCTCAATAACTATATGCATTGCAAGTTTAGAAAGACAAGTGGAAACAGATAGGAAGAAACAGATTGACCAGAGTTCTTGTTCTTTGTTTCATTAGGATAATACTAGAAAAGTGTATCCCCCCCCCCAAATAATCCAGAGAACAGCTATCCTCACCCCAAAAAAATGGATATCTGAACTGGATCCACTGTCCTTTTCAGTTCATTTCTGCAAGTCAACCTAACAAGGGGTAGTTTTCAAGATGTGATTCCATAGAAAGAATCACAATTTAGCAACATTCTCCCTCTCCATTGCTTTGGTAGGCTTAGAAATAACGCAACACTCTTAAGCCAGAATAAAGCCAAGTTGCAAGTTTAGTGCAATGCCATGAACTTTTGCCTCAAGTCAAGTGGATCATAAACTTCGTGTATCATCCCAGACATTCAGTAGGCTCTGCCAATAATATAAAAGTAGAGGAGAATGCCATATGCTCTCCTCTCTTTTAAAACAGGAAAATTAGAGACTCCTCTTTACGTTTCTCTTTAACCTTCGCACCTGTAGGAGGAGCCTTGTCCACACCACTCAACAAGTTTGATTCCCTCTACAGAAGTAGTCAGGAATTATCTCTGGCCTCCAGTCTCTAATCCCGTTGCCAGCACCCCCCCATCCCCCCCACTGCAGAGAAGAATCCTTGTTCACAGAAAAGCCCCCCCCCCAAATTCCTCTGCTTTCTTCACTGAGTACATGCACCTGAGGTCTCACTCTTCCCTTCCTGCCTCAGTTTCCCCCAAAGCTTAACCTACCAAGTTTCTTAAGAGCAGAGAGGCCCATTCGGGCAAAACCGGCAGAAACGTTGATCAAGGAACAAGCCCCCCCCCCTTTTAATCCCCCTTTTCAAAACCGCTTCTGTATAAAGACACACACACACACACACACACACACACACACGAAAAACCCCGGGCAACGCACCTTATCAATCAAGTTGGCAAACTTGTTGTTGAGGGTCTTAATCTCTTCCTTCTCCTTGATTCTCACTTGCTGGATGGCGGGGTCAATTTCCAAGTTGAGCGGGGCCAGCAGGCTCTTGTTGACGCTGACCGCCGTAATGCCACCCAGGCTCCCCGCGGAGGTTCCGCGGAAGCTGGCCCCACCGCCATACCGGCTGCCCCCGAAACCGGAGCCGGCGGAAGAGTAAGAGGTGCTGATTCGCGAGCTAGCGACCGGCCCGGAGGAGCGGCTGCTAAAACTGCGGACGGTGCTCGACGTGTTCCGGTAGTTCTTCCTCATCATCGTTGCAAGGGAGCGCGGGGAAAAAAAGATCAGCTTGGAAGACCCGGGCAGCTGGGAAAACAGCAGAACGCCGACGGCGGAGGAAGCTGGGCTTATATGCGGCGCTTTGGGGGTGGGAAAGGGCGGGGCCGAGGAGAGGACGGCAGCACCTGAGTGGCTTTTCCAGCAACGAGGGGGCGGAGCTCCGAGGCTCGGATACCTGCTTTGCCAGGCAGGGAAGCGGCGCTTTTTAACTCTTTCCTGTCGGGGGAAAAAAAAGGGCCCTAACGCAGGGAGCGGCACGTCCGCACCTCTTCAGGGAAAATCTCTCTTCTTCTTCCCTCCCTCCCTCCGCCGCCCGTTTCTTCACTCCGGCTTGTCACTTTTCAAGATTTCGAGTAGTAAACCAAACCCAAAGAGGGCAGCAGTTGCCCAAATTTGCTGCGAGCCGAATGCAGAAGAATGGCGGAGTTGGAAAGGGACCTTGGAGGTCATCTAGTCCAACCCCCTGCTCAAAAGCAGGAGACCCTCCCTACACCATTTCAGACAAGTGGCTGTCCAGTCTCTTCTGGAAAGCCTCCAGTGATGGGGCACCCACAACTTCTGAAGGCGACACCTGTTCCACTGGTTAAATGTTCTCACTTGTTAGAAAATTTCTCTTTATTTCTAGGTTGAAGTTCTCCTTGACCAGTTTCCGTCCATTGTTCCTTGTCTGGCTTTCGGGTGCTTTGGAAAACAAGATTGTCCCCCTTCTCTCCGTGACAGCTGGACCCTCCCTGCCCTCCTACGGGACGACTGAGATTCCCACCCCCCTCGCCCGGCAGAGTCAAAGGCATATTTGAGCCTTCATCCACAGCCGCTTTGCTCTGGCAGGTAAACCAAGCGAGAGGGCGCCTTTGTTTTTTCAATCTTTTAGGGCCCGAGGCGAGGAACTCCCTCAAAGCAAGAACAGGCGAGGAAGCGGCTCTACGGAAGCGGACAAGCGGGGTTCCTTAAGACTCAGGGATGCGTTTGAGGGGTCTAGGACCCGTAATCGCAGTACTGGCGGGTCTGAATTGAGAAAAATCTGGATGGCCACAAGATGGTGCCAAATACAGGGGGTCCTCGACTTACAACCGTTCGTTTAGTGACCGGAGTTACAAGGTCACTGAAAAAAAGTGACTTGTGACCGTTTTTCACACTGACGACCATTGTGGTGTCCTCACGGTCACATGATTAAATTCAGCCGCTTGGCCACTGGTTCATATTTATGACGGTTGCAACATTGGGGGGCGGAGAGTCATATGATTCCCCTTTGTGCGACCTTCTGACAGGCAAAGTCAACAGATTCACTTAACAACCAGGTTACTAATTTAACAACTGCAGTGATTCCCTTAACGAGTGCAGCAACCAAAGCCGTAAGATCAGGCAACATTCCCTTCACAAATGTCTCACTTAGCCACATAAATTGTGGGCTCACTTGTGGTCGTAAGTCGAGGACTACCTGCAGTTAAGGTTTTTGCTGCTTACTCATAGCCAGCGGGATTTTTTTTTTACAGCTTCGAACTGGTGAACCTTAATTAATGGAAGGCGGGAGAAGGGAGGGGAGAAGGGGAAGATGTGCCAGCTGGATTGAATGGCCCTGATTCAGCGGCTCAGTTGCTTAAACCGGGACCAACTGTGGTGATTACTGTACATGATTCAGCGTAGGTAGCCACCCTTTGCTTGCTGGACTCAATTTAAAGTTTAATCTTTAAATTCCCTCCGGGATTTAGGGCTGTCTGGAGAGGGACTGTTCCTATTGACTCCAAGCGGAATGCTGCCCGCTTCAGCCTCCATTCTCATGGGGCAGCAAAATAAACTATTTCCCGTTAGCCTTGGGGCACTTTTTAAGCTGGGATTTTAATATGCTGTGTCTGTTTTTAACTGTTGTTTGTGGACTGCGCCTGTTTAAATGACAGCATTTGCATAACTATAAAGGTAAATGTAACTTTTGTTTTCTTAAGAGTTTAGAATGTAGATCTTGACTTTAAGGTAGCTTAGCATTTCAGATGTTCAAAGGCAGGTTAGAAATTCAAGAAGACACAATAAATCCACAATTGCTTAATTAAAGGGCAAACCAGGAATCCAAAACAGGGCAATGAAAACTCTCCATTTGGATCATTTTCTGCTATTAAAAAAATAACAAAGCACTATATGTTCATGTTCATATCTTTTCATTTTTGTAAGCCACCCAGAGTCATTGAGAGTCAGCGGGAAGCCATATAAATTCTCTTAAATAGGTTCGTGCATTCAGTTGCTAAGCCTGCTGCTGGCCATATTATTCTACTTGTACTAATCATGGTTTTTTAAGTAGAATCATAGATTTCCTGTGTAATTCAAATACAGAACATCACCATTTGGGGTTTATACAAACTGGCAATTGAAACTATGTCAAGATAGTTTCCCTTCAGACACCCAGTTTTTGTAAATCCAAGATAATGACTGCTTTGTATTCAAACAGGTTTTAATAAAAGCCTTGTAGGGCAGGAGGTTAGCAAACTTGTGCTCATTAACTGGACCTTTTTGAGGTAGCCTATGCAAACACAACCATTATCTGGAAAAGCCACTGTTGTGTAATTCGATTGATCATGAAGAAACCCTCCAAGAGGCTGATAGAAATACAAAAGGGACCTGAAGATATACTGTAACAGACATGTAACTTGATTGATGCAGGTTTTCTCATACATAAATACTGTTGAGTTCAACTGGACTTATTCTCAATTAAGTATGCCTTGGGATTGAAATGCTAAATGGATGAGTGGGTGTCTCTCTCTCATATCTTCAAGAATTCCTGAAGCTAAAATCTGCAGGCTTACTCAAAAGGAAACTGAAATTTGGTGGAACGTGCAAGAACTATTGTTCCCCGATTGAACATCTCTAGCAATGAATGCACAGCACAAAACTAGCCATTCTGACTAGGATGGGCAGTCCTTGATACTATTTAAATAGGTTTTAAACCTGTTTAGATGAGTAGTCATTGTAGAATTATTTAATCACCATGCCTAGTTACTGACTATATAGATCAAATGCCTTAAAAGAGAAACCAAGTCATCCTCCCTTTTTTTTAGACCTCTTTTGATGGCTCTATCTATTTTTCCACAAGTCTTGTGACTGTCTTGTTATCCCCATGGTTTTCTTTGGTCTTATTTGTGCATTCCAGATGAGCAGCAAAACAGAATCCTCCCTTTAGTCATGGCACAACTGGCGTTATTGCTCTGGGGAAAATTAGTCTCTTACTTAACTGAGGACATTCTCTTAGTTGCAAAAGGCTATCTATGAGATTCAGAGGGATAATTGAGACTGAAGGAATAATTACATTCTTAGCCTATCAGCTTACTTACTCTTGAATCCTTGAGAGGCTGATGCAGCAATGCTGTGGCTGAATCATACAATGGGCTAGACTAGGTTAGAGTAGAGTTGGGTCACTTGTATTTCAACATGATGGAGGAAAACTATTGTCTTAGCATGTTGCATGAACCATCATATTAAGCCATAATACGATTTATTTGGGTGTGGCAGACTATATGAACACAGTATATTTTGTTAACCCAGGTTTGGTGTGTTGTATGAATCCACCGTTTGTATGGTAAGTGAAAACAAGAGGTATAAAACTGCTTCAACTTAGTAGTGCTGGTAGAATGCAATCTATCTTAAAACACTTGGCTAAAAAACTGAACTAAGACCAAGTACTGTAAGCTTGTGATCAAAGTTTTGGACTGTAAAAAAATATTAATACATGCTACAGTACTTAAAGTTATGTTCAAATTTGTCTCTTCTGTGCTGCACTAATTCCAAGTTACTAGACACAGAGCAAGCCAACTTAAAGTCAGAAAGAGAGAATATGATGCTTACAAGTGTCTGCTGGAGGCAAAGGCATCAGGCACATCATTGTATGACACAGATAATACAAACCTCATTCCTGTTATGATGATGCCATGATGCGCATGACACCATGGTGATTTCCACTGGACGTCTAAGTTTATAAGGACAGTAGACCAGGTGAAATGGAAGAGGAGCATTCAATGGATGGAGAGAAATATAAATCAATCCCTCTAACTGCAAGTTGAGATCCAGAGCACCAGCAATTTTGAAACCAAAATCAGCCATTGAAATCCACAACAAATGTTTGGAAGAGTCTTCTGGATTGCAGAAGATACAATAATTAATAAACAACCAAGTCTAATAATATTTAGCAACAGAGTGTTAATTGTTTGGGAGAAAATTAGAAAACAAGCTGATAATGGTGGAAAATGTTTCTTTGAAATGTAACACAAGTTGCCACTCCCTAGATTTATTTCAGTTTTGATACATGCAACATCTTTTCCCTACTTGGCACATCCTCCATGTTTTGAAGTTGCAATTCATTTGACCCCTTTTTGGAAATTCTGACAGCACCACTGGTAGATTGCAGATATGTGCTAACATTGGTTTACTTTAAAAATGTGAGCAATCATTAAGGGAAAACAAGATAAGCTGACCAAATCTTAAACTGAATTATGTATGCTCTGGAGTTTAGGAGTGAGGATACCAGGTCCATCACGTCGGATCTAATCCTTGGGTTTATTTTTGCATCACATTTGATTTTTTGCCCTGGGAAACACTTCCATCAGCAAATAACACTTTAATTGCATGTGTGTTTAGTTTGCTAATGAATGTGAGATCATCAGACTTGACAAACAGGGTTGAATGTTATTTCTTAGAGATTCTTCCTGGGTAAGGGAAATGAAATATAGAAAAGAGGAAATAACTTTTGTTTACGATCTCCTCCATCACCAGAATAATAAAAATCAGTAAAGTTATCAGTGCTTTATATCCAACATTTTCTGAAAATAGAATGATATGCAATGGAGTTTATATGAGCATTTTTGAGAGATTCTTGAACTATTACATCAAGAATAACTTTCTACATTGTAACTAGAATTGCACAACATGGGAACCTGCAGATTAGACATTTTAGAGCAGCATGCTATGTACATCCATCCTGGGTGGTTTATGAACCATAATGTATGTGCAAACACAGCTAGA